AAAAAAAAATATCGATTTTATATCTAATTTAGCATTCTTTGTCATTTATAATACCTAGATATGTTTTAAAATGCAATTTAAAGCATTTTTGGTTTTGATCATAGTAGGCTATTTTCAAAAAAATATCGATTTTATATCTATATTAGCTTTCTTAATCATTTAAAATACCTAGATATGTTTTAAAATGCAATTTAAAGCATTTTTGGTTTTGATCATAGTAGGCTATTTTCAAAAAAATATCGATTTTATATCTTTATTAGCTTTCTATATCATTTAAAATACCTAGATATGTTTTAAAATGCAATTTAAATCATTTTTGTTTTCGATCTTAGTAGGCTTTTTTCAAAAAAAAAATATCGATTTTATATCTAATTTAGCATTCTTTGTCATTTATAATACCTAGATATGTTTTAAAATGCAATTTAAAGCATTTTTGGTTTTGATCATAGTAGGCTATTTTCAAAAAAATATCGATTTTATATCTTTATTAGCTTTTTTTATCATTTAAAATACCTAGATATGTTTTAAAATGCAATTTAAAGCATTTTTGGTTTTGATCATAGTAGGCTATTTTCAAAAAAATATCGATTTTATATCTTTATTAGCTTTCTTTATCATTTAAAATACCTAGATATGTTTTAAAATGCAATTTAAAGCATTTTTGGTTTTGATCATAGTAGGCTATTTTCAAAAAAATATCGATTTTATATCTTTATTAGCTTTCTTTATCATTTAAAATACCTAGATATGTTTTAAAATGCAATTTAAAGCATTTTTGGTTTTGATCATAGTAGGCTATTTTCAAAAAAATATCGATTTTATATCTTTATTAGCTTTCTTTATCATTTAAAATACCTAGATATGTTTAAAAATGCAATTTAAATCATTTTTGTTTTCGATCTTAGTAGGCTTTTTTCAAAAAAAAAATATCGATTTTATATCTAATTTAGCATTCTTTGTCATTTATAATACCTAGATATGTTTTAAAATGCAATTTAAAGCATTTTTGGTTTTGATCATAGTAGGCTATTTTCAAAAAAATATCGATTTTATATCTTTATTAGCTTTCTTTATCATTTAAAATACCTAGATATGTTTTAAAATGCAATTTAAAGCATTTTTGGTTTTGATCATAGTAGGCTATTTTCAAAAAAATATCGATTTTATATTTATATTAGCTTTCTTAATCATTTAAAATACCTAGATATGTTTTAAAATGCAATTTAAATCATTTTTGTTTTCGATCTTAGTAGGCTTTTTTCAAAAAAAAAATATCGATTTTATATCTAATTTAGCATTCTTTGTCATTTATAATACCTAGATATGTTTTAAAATGCAATTTAAAGCATTTTTGGTTTTGATCATAGTAGGCTATTTTCAAAAAAATATCGATTTTATATCTTTATTAGCTTTCTTTATCATTTAAAATACCTAGATATGTTTTAAAATGCAATTTAAAGCATTTTTGGTTTTGATCATAGTAGGCTATTTTCAAAAAAATATCGATTTTATATCTTTATTAGCTTTCTTTATCATTTAAAATACCTAGATATGTTTTAAAATGCAATTTAAAGCATTTTTGGTTTTGATCATAGTAGGCTATTTTCAAAAAAATATCGATTTTATATCTTTATTAGCTTTCTTTATCATTTAAAATACCTAGATATGTTTTAAAATGCAATTTAAAGCATTTTTGGTTTTGATCATAGTAGGCTATTTTCAAAAAAATATCGATTTTATATCTTTATTAGCTTTCTTTATCATTTAAAATACCTAGATATGTTTTAAAATGCAATTTAAAGCATTTTTGGTTTTGATCATAGTAGGCTATTTTCAAAAAAATATCGATTTTAAATCTATATTAGCATTCTTTATCACTTATAATACCTAGATATGTTTTAAAATGCAATTTAAAGCATTTTTGGTTTTGATAATAGTAGTCTATTTTCAAAAAAATATCGATTTTAAATCTATATTAGCATTCTTTATCATTTATAATACCTAGATATGTTTTAAAATGCAATTTAAAGCATTTTTGGTTTTGATCATAGTAGGCTATTTTCAAAAAAATATCGATTTTAAATCTACATTAGCAATCTTTATCATTTATAATACCTAGATATGTTTTAAAATGCAATTTAAAACATATTTGGTTTCCGACATAGTAGGTTATTTTCAAAAAAATATCGATTTTAAATCTATATTAGCATTCTTTATCACTTATAATACCTAGATATGTTTTAAAATGCAATTTAAAGCATTTTTGGTTTTGATAATAGTAGTCTATTTTCAAAAAAATATCGATTTTAAATCTATATTAGCATTCTTTATCATTTATAATACCTAGATATGTTTTAAAATGCAATTAAAAGCATTTTTTGTTTTGATCATTGTAGGCTATTTTCAAAAAAATATCAATTTTAAATCTATATTAGCATTCTTTATCATTTATAATACCTAGATATGTTTTAAATGCAATTTAAATCATTTTTGTTTTCGATCTTAGTAGGCTTTTTTCAAAAAAAAAATATCGATTTTATATCTAATTTAGCATTCTTTGTAGGGTTCGGAAATCTACAGTTATTATCAGTTAGTAACACTTATCTACAGTTATCTACAATTTGTAACTGTAGATAAGTAACTGTAGATAATTTTTTCAAAGTGGAAAAAAACGTTATTAATTTACTGAAAAAAGAGTTGAAATGCTAAAATCAGGACTGCAACAGCATGTAACAGTTCAAATAAAGTGACATTAGGCTTCATTCAGTATTTTAAAAGCGTTTGTGTGGTGATTTAATTGAAAATTAAGAAATTTTCGCAAATTTTTTTTGTTTACAAACATGTGAACAATATTTGAATTTCATATAACCGTTACAAATATTCGATAAACAAAAAGTTGATTTTTAATAGCTAATGTTGACATTTGAGCTCTCTTAATGTATAATAAGTGTATTCTATATATAAATTTATTAAAAAAGTCTCCAAAAATTGTTTGTTTACAAAACTTTGCAAATTTTTTAACGGATTTTCTTCATTCAAAGAAATTATCTACAGTTTACTAACTGTTGATAACTGTAGATTTTGTGTAGATAATCTAAAAGTTGATAACTGTAGATAATCATTTAGTGGTTTTCCGAACCCTAATTCTTTGTCATTTATAATACCTAGATATGTTTTAAAATGCAATTTAAAGCATTTTTGGTTTTGATCATAGTAGGCTATTTTCAAAAAAATATCGATTTTATATCTTTATTAGCTTTCTTTATCATTTAAAATACCTAGATATGTTTTAAAATGCAATTTAAATCATTTTTGTTTTCGATCTTAGTAGGCTTTTTTCAAAAAAAATATATCGATTTTATATCTAATTTAGCATTCTTTGTCATTTATAATACCTAGATATGTTTTAAAATGCAATTTAAAGCATTTTTGGTTTTGATCATAGTAGGCTATTTTCAAAAAAATATCGATTTTATATCTATATTAGCTTTCTTTATCATTTAAAATACCTAGATATGTTTTAAATGCAATTTAAAGCATTTTTGGTTTTGATCATAGTAGGCTATTTTCAAAAAAATATCGATTTTATATCTTTATTAGCTTTCTTTATCATTTAAAATACCTAGATATGTTTTAAAATGCAATTTAAAGCATTTTTGGTTTCGATCTTAGTAGGCTTTTTTCAAAAAAAAAAAAAATATCGATTTTATATCTAATTTAGCATTCTATGTCATTTATAATACCTAGATATGTTTTAAATGCAATTTAAAGCATTTTTGGTTTTGATCATAGTAGGCTATTTTCAAAAAAATATCGATTTTATATCTTTATTAGCATTCTTTATCATCTACTTTATAAAAGCTTAATTCACTGATTCACTGACTCCATGTGAAGCCATTTGTGAAGCCAAAAATTTTAAGAGAGTTGACAAGGTGGTTTTCAGGTGGGTGTGGGTGTCAGGTGGGGGAAGGGGACAAGTTGGGTGTCTTCACATGGCTTCACAAAACTTCACATTGGCTTCACACGGCTTCACAAAATATACCTGGCACCCAAATTTTTTTTACGTCATTTACTGATAAACCCGAAGCATGTTATAAATCATTTCAAAGGAAATTTAAAGCTCTTTTAAATGCAATAAGAATTTTTTCCGTTTCTGAAAGATAAATATCAAATAAAGGTAAAATAGTGTTCAAAGGGTTTTTATGTTTTAAGGTTTTATCATTTTTTGACAAAACTTATTCACAAGTCCCACTAATTTTTAACCTTCATTAATTTATAAGAAAATAGGAACAAGTTGTGCGCATTTTTAAAGGCTACAAAACGAGTTAAAAAGCAAAGCCTTTGATTAAGTATTGAAAAAGTTGTTCAATTTCTTAGTTTTTTAACTTTGAATCGGTTTTTGAACCGTTTAAACCAATTGAGCCGGTTCAAAAATAGCATAATTAAATAGCTTTTTGGATGTCAATTCCAACGATTTACAATATGTCTATGTTATCTACTATAGTTTTAGAGTTATGACAAGTAAAAGAAAAAAATGCAATTCCGACATTTTGCTCCAGAATCATTCATAATATTTTAACAATTGAAACTTAGAAATTTATAAGGCAAAGCGTCTTGTGTTACTCAGGAAGAAAATTTTCGAGGAATTAATTAATTTAACATACCTATAATTTTCACTAAGCATCTAAATTTTGCTTAATAAGAACATGATTTCAGCATAAAAGGAACAGGTCTCGCTGATTAATGTCATTTGAAATTTTAATTTTCAGGAGTTTTCCACTAAATTGAGCTCCAGGAAGATTGACAAAAAATCGAAATTCTCTTTAATTAACTTTTTTAGAAATAAGAAAGTTTTAAAGTGCTTCTATTCACATCATTGCATTAAGTTGTTATCTCAAGTACTTAATCTTCGCAAAACTGATTTAGTTTCCCCTGAAAATGAAAACTGCTGCTAAGTGAAATAAAGTAATCAATCAAATGAGTGAAACTCGGTAAAAATTAAACTTAAAATTTATGGTTTCTCTTTATTTTAATTAACTTCTTGTTTGTGTGTTTGTGTATTTGTGTGTAAGTTTGTTTTCTTTTTTTTTGCTCACAAAAATTTTAAACAATTTCATTTTAGCATTTTGTGATCATCACATCAAAACTTGATACTGAGATGAAGAGAAAAGGGACCATATTACTTTTCAATTCAAGTGTTTTTTATCAATAATTTAAATTAAACAAGAATTTAAAGATCACTGATGAAATTTTGATCGTCACAAATGCTGACGAGACATGAGATGTTAATAATTATAGTAGTAGCGTGTACGTAGTGTAATAAAGTTTTGAGAGAATTGTTGTTTTATGCTACTCATCCTTTTTACAATGACTTTTCAATCTTGATGATTTCAGTGATACCATCGTACATTTCCTTAACAGCTTGGAATTCAGTCAAGCCCATACGTCTCTTATTTGAAATATCATAAATGCCACCTTCAGCTTCTGTGTGTTCTCCACGAGTTCCACGAACTTGCAAGTTGTATTTGGAAGCAACTTCTTCAAGACGAGCCTTATTAGCAGCCAATTTTGGAACCTTAATGTGTACTGATGCACGGATTGTTGTTCCCAAGTTGGTTGGGCAGAATGTAAGCTATAAGTGAATGGATTTTAGTTAAGACATGTCATGATTTGCTATCAAAATCACAAAACTTACGAATCCCAAGCGATCATTGTGGCTGAATGGAACACGTTTTTCGATATCATTAACTGCATTTGTTAAACGACGAATAACTTCACCAAGATTACCACCCATTTGCATGGAAATGATACGAAGATGATCTTCTTCAGCCAGCCAAATTAAAACTTTGAACATAGCATGAAAAGAAAATAATAAAGAAATTAAGTTAGAAAAAATCATCAATCAAAAATTTTTTTTTCAAGTTTTCTCCATTTACTTGAACATTTTCTAGTAATGAAAATTAAATTAAGCGTTATGAGCATTATGGTACCAAATTTGTCTAGCTATGATGCTTAGTTCCGTGTCAAAAGTCATTTGAAAATGCGTTACTTACATAAAACTATGAGAATCTGTAACTTGGGTTTAGAGGGTATATATTCAAAACCTTTTAACCTAGATTTTATGTAAGCATCTTATAGTGCATTTAATTCTTTAGTTAAATTGGTTGTGGTGAAGTCTATCGCGTAATTCACTGTGATTTTGTGAAATCTCGACACTATTTTTGCAGTTTTCACGCATGAATGTTTTCCATGCTATCAATTACGAATGGAAGAATATGCGATGCTTTTAAATGTGAACGGAAAGAAACAATCCATAATTCTAAATGCCATAACGGCAACTTCCCGCTACCATAAACGAGACAAAACTTACGAGAGAAAATCCTTGCACATAAAAGTTGGCAAAGAATTTGATGATTTTAAAATCATCGCTGAAGAAGTTTCAAATCTTTACAGTTTAGCTGACATTGAGTATAATGTTCTTCGGAACCTTAGCGAGATGATCGAGGTAAGTGAAGCATTGAAAAATAAAATTTGATTACAAGCAAATTTGAAATTTCACATTTTAAATATTTTACAGAACAATACAGAATAAGCTTTTTATGGCGAGTTAAATTAATTAAACTTCGAAAACTCAATATAAGCTCAACATTAAGCTTTAACGGTTTTACGAGCCTAAGTTCAAAAAATGTAAGCTTGGAACTAAAAAGTTATGAGCAGTTTTATGAACTCAAATTACACCTTTCCCGAAAATTATACGTCATCGGAGAATATTCGAATGGCTCTACAGAAGGAAGTAGACATCTTTCATACTTAATTTTGGTATTAAAATCTTTGTCTCGGCGAGTGCTATAAGACTAGTAAAAAATATAAAATGCTTCGATTGAGCAAATTAATGAAAAATATAAAAATGCGTCTCCGATGACGAAGAATTCATTTTCGACGGGGCCAATGTAGATATAAATGTCACGCCTTCAAAATAATGATAACTTTAGAAAAATCATAAAATGTTAAAAATATACTTACAGGTCTTGGCATCATTGTGGTAGATACCTCTTCCTGATGGCCAGTAGCGGCAAGCATTTGCAGCTTGTAAGAAACGATCACCTTCTTTGAACAAGAAATGATCATCAATGAGTTGTTGTTGGGTTGACTTGTCCATTCCAGTCAATGGATAGAATTTGCCCTTCAATTCTCCTTCTAAGCCAGCCAATGTGGTTGAAACTTTTTGTTCCATTTCCTTGTATTGGGCTTCTGTTAAACTGTAAAGATAAAGAAAAAGTAAACCATAAAGATAAGCGAACGATTAATGACTTTATCAGTTAATATTTACCATGGGTTGAATGGATATCCTTCCAATGAGCGACCGCAACGGACACGTGTTGATACTACAAATTCACCAGCTGGATCCAAATCACCGAAAACAGAGACATCACCGAAGTCCTTTGCTGGATGCTTATCGGTCTTCTTGAATCCACCATGATAATCTTCAATGATTGGGTCGAACAAGTCAGCGAATGTGGTATAAGCTTCAGCATCTGGGGCGTAAATTCCGACTCCTGAATCGTGATTTTCGTATCCAGATTGGATGACATCGAGCAATGTTGATCCGAAGGTTGGTGTCTTCTTGTTCTTAAGAGCATCAAAGACTTCCTTGGTCAAGTACTTCTTAAGCAAGGACTTTGAGTCAGAAGCTTGGAGCTTAGTGAAGCCGGCTTCTAATTTTTCAAGTACTGCAGCGTCGACCATTTCGGATTTGTTCCTATAAAAAGACAAGAAAATGTTTTATTAAAATAATTATTTTAGTTTTTTTAAGAATCGGAGAACAGTAAAGAGAACTATTTTTATTCAGCACAAAACTTTCACTCTGTTTACTCTTGAAAAGCTGTGCGAAAAAATTAAAAACAGAACAAACCTAATGAAGTATTCAATTGGAATGAAGAAAAGTACAAAATTTATAAAAATAGAACAAATTATAAAACGAAAAATAACAGCTGAGATAGCTGACCATCTAAGCCTCCGCATAATGGAGACGTGCCAAGAAAAAAATAAATAAAACTAACTTCTAATATTAAACACTGACAACAATGCCAATGAGAAGTTTCAACACTCCATAAAGTTACAACTTGGAAAGTTTTTTTCCTGCTGCTTACGTGTATGAATGTTTTGCCAACATTCGATCGACTTATCAACAACCATCGATCGTTGTTGTATTTGTGACATTGAAATACTTGAAAAATAAAATGTAAGTTATAAAGTCTATACTTAATTGAAAAGAACTGACTCTCGCATCGATGGAAATAAAATAAAATTTACCAATTTTTTTTATCAGTTGGCAACTAAAAGAGACGAATTTTCAGCAAATTCATTCTTTCGCGTGTGCAACTTGTATCAATATTTAATTTAAAGGAAAGAAAAACATCATCATAGAGACAGTCTCTAGCAATATTATAAACTTTATAAATTTGCCAACTCAGCTCTTAACGATGACAAAAAGAAATATTTAATTTCTTCTTCATAAACCCTCCATTTGTCTCAGAAACAACAACATAGTCTCTGTTATGCAATAGAAAGTAGCGAGGTAAATTTATTGCAATAAACAATATCGTAAATATCTTCAAATGTGATTCTTATGTGCTGAATCTCTCTTATCAAACACTCTGTATTATATACAATGTGTACAATTTTTTCGTAAACATGCTCTGTATGAAATTGCTCACGTAGTATAGGATTTTTTGATTAGTGTCACTATCTGACTCATTTTTTTTTTAAATGAAATTAATCCACTTTACTAAACTTAACCGTCATTTTAATATTTTTGATCAATTTCAAATAACTCAGCAATTATACAATGGAAATTTTGCACTACGTCTTGTAATTGCAAAGACTTGAAAATACTTTTCGTCATTTATTTTCATTGATTTGAATCCATATGCTTAAAAGCTACTAAAAATCACATTGAACTTAATGTCTCTAATCTAGGAATGGTCTTGAGAAGGACAAGAAAAAGTCTCTAAACCAAATTGCGACGAGCCATTTGTATACAACAGATTAGAGGTGAAGCATTGGTGATTATTATTTTTTTAAAGGAACAATATAATCATGCGTTCAATGCTTCTTTCATGGAAAAAAACACCGACCGACAAGATTTTCTCTCATTTTTACTCAAAAATAATACGAATAAGGGAGAAGCTCTCCAACAACGGCACAGAAGCAGAAAATTCATCAGTCACCCACTCCTTTGTCATCAGCAAGAAGAAAAAAAAGTTTTTTTTTTATATCAAAAGAAGGTTGTGGAAGGATGTAATAGGAGGGAGGGAAGGGGGAACATAAAAAGAGAAAAAGAAAGCAGAAAATATATTTATTTTACACACCCTTCATTTTCGGCGACCGTTTTGTCTTTCGAAGTACATCCACCCATTTTTTCGATTCAATAATTGAAAATTTATGATAATTTTAAGTTAATGAAAAATTCTTTGTCTAGTTTCCTAATTTTTTGATGGCCGAAGTTCTACACCTTAATTTCTTCTTATCCTTTCTACTTTTTTGTGCGCTTATATTTCAATGCTATACATCTGAAGATTCTAAGGAAAAACTTTTTTCTGTTCCTGAGCCTGGAGTCTCTAAAAATCACTAAACTGCACTAATTTTATCAAAATGTCCTGGAAAATGTCTTTGGTTCTTTAATTATTAAATCACAATTTGTATCGTTGAACACTTAAAAAGTACGTAAATCTCTCCTTTCTTCCTCTATCTCTAAATATATTTTTTATGTGTGAAACTTCCCCGGTTTTGCAATGGCGAATATTCTCAATTTTTTATCGTGCAGATTTTTTTCCACTTTTTCAATTCCTTCAATTTCTTTTAAATGTAAAAATAATTGTTTGAGTATCTTGCGCGTAGGTAAATGTACAAAAAGATTGTTTAATAAATTTAATATTATGCTTGACTCCGACGGCGGGAATCTTAGAGGGACGTTGAAAAGGATCTTTAAAATTCGAATCAAAGCGACAAACTGACAAAAGGAAAGCCAAAAAAATCCGAACACGTAGCGTATAATTTTTTTTGAAGCGTTCACCCGGATTTCATACACACATAAATGATACACATCCACATACATTCATATGGATGACGAAGCGAAGCGCACAGAAAAAGGACATAAAACATAGACTATGTTACCCCAACAACAACAATAACATAATGTTAAGTATTTTGCACCCTCTTCGGATATTTTTTTCTCTTCCTTTCTCTCTCTCGTTTGTTTGTTTTTGAGACTGTAACGGTAATAAATTTTCAACACCAATACTATGCCATCCCCTCATCTGGATATCTTCCATCTCCTTCACTCTAACTTCCAATTTCCTTTTTTTTTCTCATCACAAACGTACGAACGACGACAGTTATGGTGGTAAAAGACAAGATACTTGTGGATGTAATATTGGAAAAAATAAACGAACGTCAAAAGCAATTTTACTTCCTTTTGCTTCTTGATCCTGCGTAGTAATTGACGAATTGATATCCGAATGAACATAAACTTTGTTTATAAGCTTTGATTTTCAACAACAATCATTTCTTCCCTACTATCGCGTACAATGATCGAAGAAAATGTTAATGTAGCTACCTATTAAATGAATTTCTTTTCTTTAGACTCCATCCAAGAAATGGGTTATTGACATGCAATTTGTAAACAAGTTAAAGGAAATATTATTGTCTCTACTATAAGGATAGAAGAAGATAATCGTCAAACGTTTAATGTTTCATGAAATGTGTGAAGGGAGTTTATGCAATAATAAACTGTTGAATAATAAAAGAGACCTTTCAAAAATTACGTACAAAGTTGCGATTTCCATTGACTTAAAATTCATATATTTAATAAACATCAATTTTAGACAACTTTCAAAAGCAGTCATAATCTTTCCATCAGTTAAGAAAATCAAACTAAAGTTCTGAAAATTTATTTATAGTTCCTATCGTGTACCGTGAGAAATCTTTCCATTTTAATTCAGTTTTGTCCAGTTTTGTGTTAAATAACACGAAAATTATTTCCGTATTGTCTGCTACCTAATAAAATAGACGTGGATATTTCCTTTTACTTACATTTAATAAAATAAGTTTTTTTTTTTCGAAACAATTTCAATAACACAAAAAAATGTTCATGTGATTAAGAAAAGATCACACGGGTGCGTATAAATTTAGAACAGACAACTTTGTAGTACATACATCCAATAAAACATTCAGCTCATGTTGTTTCATCTTGATCATTTAGAGTGCATTCACTTTTATAATTATTTATGCATAACGACTTGAAGGATGAAGAATTGACTAATAATAGAAGTGAAATTGAAAAAATAAGAAGCAAGTGTGACTGTCGTACCAGTCAACTTTTCAATCATCAAACAACATATGAAATTGGCAGATGATTTGAATAAACTCATTAAAAGATGAGAATTTCTTTTTGGCAAACTAATAATCTGTCAACTAAGGAAGTTGCACAATACTAAGTCGATTTACAGTAGAAGAAGTGACGATGCCAACGTCAAAGCCGTTCATTTTTCACATTTTCAAGATCAAGAGAAACGAAAATTATTTATCTTCTAACATTTTTCTTTTTGCTCGGTTTTATTACAAAAAGGCAGTTTCGCAAGAAAAATTGGCATACGCTTATTCAAATCTTTCGAACTGCTTCTTTTCCTGACTGTATCTCGCATGAAATAATATAAGAGGAATAAGCACTTTTTATTGCCAATGATGATCATTGCCCTGTTGAAATATCTTTAAAACAATATTAAATAAGATTGCATTTTTCATAACTCAATTATAGAACATGAGTATCTTTCATACTTTACAGTCAATTTTCACATTTTAATTACAGCCAGTGATGAGAAAAATATCTTTTGTGATGTGAAGGTATTCGCGACTTAAAGAATATGATAGTTGTCGTAAAATTTTTCACTAGATTTATTTTACAAGAGACTCGAGTAGGAAAACAAGAAAATTTCGAGGTAATTCAAGTTGACTGAGCGTTGATGGGGAAAATTGTAATGAAGATACATGAGCCGGCTAGTTCCTCATATATTTCAGAGAAGAAAAAAAAACCTTTTTTGTTTATTTCATAAAACACTTTTAATCATTCAAAAAATGTGTTTTTCTTTTTTCTAGCTGTTTATGAAGCATCACCCCGGATGATGAGACTGAGCGAGTTTAAAAATAAAAAGTTATTACATTCGGGATCATTTTTTCTTGTTTAAATTAAAGGAATGTCTTTTTTCTTGTCTCTTCCTCCTTTCGAGTAAAAATTAATTTTCATTGTTAATTGCATTTTGCTGCTGTTTTATGCAATCTTTAAATCAAGCACTTTTTATGCAAATTACAAGTCAAAACAGATGCAGGCTGTAAGCATCATTTAAAGATAATTCTTTTCAATTTAGCTCCTCAAATGCATTTCTCATTTCAATTAGTTTTGCAGTATTAATGGCAATATATAAGAGTATGATCCAGAAGTTCTCAAAATTCGTGCTATGATACACGTAAATATTATTAAAAACTGTTAATTCTTCTAAATTTATAGCGATCGAAAAACAGGTTTTGAGAAGCACTGCTATATATAACAGACATATGATGTTATGCAATCTATAGAGAAGAAAGACGCAGTGCTGACAGTTTATTATTATTTCTAATAAATCTCTACAAAGATATGAATAAAAGCTTCATTTGAAAGAATTTCCACTACATTTAGCAATTCAAACTTTTTTCTTTTGGTTTAATGTCTTAAACTGAATCAATTTAAATGAGATTTTGAAGAGACTTTGTTAAAAGCTATTATTCATTTGTTTAATTTTGCTCAGTTTGAAAGTATCTTTTTCCAGCCGCAAGCAGCTATATCAAGCGCAGCCCCTTAAAAGATCTAAAATATTTCGCCCGGAATATTCCGGGATCTGATTGTCATAATATGAAAACGAATATGGGATTTGAATTATCATCTACAAATTCGCAAACGATAAATCATAAAATTATATCAACAGAAAAAAATATAATTTTAAGGAAAAGTCTTCTTCTATCTTCTTCTTTTTTCGCGTCTCCAATTTATTTATAAAAATTCTTTGCCAGGGCTTTGTTTTGTTTGTATTTTAGATTAAATATAAAAAGCCTCTCGTTTTCATTATTTTATTTTACACAATAGACGTGCATATCCAATTAACATCAATTACAGTAGAGGCTTGTTGAAACAAACTCAGCCATGTATACATATATTTCTGATTCTTAATTGTATTTATTTGTTCTATATGTGTGCTTGCTATGTATATTCTATATATATATATATGCTGTAATTGTAATAAACATTCACTAAGTTAACGGTGTGTGCGCTGATGATCATGATGATTGTACCGGCTTTTTATGCCGGTTATTTTTGTTAAGATATACAAATTTGTGTAATTCTATATTTTATTTTACAATAAGCTGTGGTGAGCTTAATTTCAAATGAATCATGTCTAGCTACTTTATGCATTAATCACTCCATGAATTCACATTACTGCTATTATTTAAAGTAAAAAATCAACGGAAATATTCAATTGTCTTTCATTTGATCGTATACGTTCATAAAAGACAATATAGATGTGTATTTATGGCTCCATATAGTTTATGTGGGTACTTACAAGTACAATCATAGATGTAATAAAGTTTAATCATTTTTGCACGAGTGATAAAGAAGCAATTACAATTTATACAATGCGTCATCTATACAAAAGCGCATTAATGTATTTCTCACGTGAGCGCAATTGAAAATTCTTAAATTACATAATCTACATGGAAAAATTGTGATAATAGAAAAATTTATTGATTAATTAAGATGGATCGAATAGAAGTGACCTTCTAAAGCGATTCTTGAGCCAATCATTAAATAGTTGAGGATCAAAAAAATATGGTTTCTTCTTAAATGCATTAAAAATAAATTTTGTCTTTAATAAACTTTTTCCCAAATAAAATATATTATGAAACATCATAACACGTGTTTAAAAAAGATCTTATAAATATAAATTTTTACTACCACAATTGCATAAGACTTATTCCCGAAAAAATATATTTTTTAATCCCAACAATAGCCAGTTTCATGATTCACAATTGAGTGTATTGCAAAAGTTCTTTGACTCTTTTGAATACATCGCGAAATACAGCACAAAAGGTAGAAAAAGAATGCTCAACTTTCCGGTACTTGTGGTAAATTTCTGTTCCCTTTTTTTCAAGTTCAAATAAAAATCAATAAGTTCTCTCTTCTATGTAAATATTTAGAACCCGACCTTCAAGCACTTATTAATCGATTATTTGTATTACGTGATGTGATAATGTGCTATACCCCTCTCTCTTAATTACATTATCCATTTGATTGACTTTCGTTCTAGTTTATCATAATAAATTATCGATCGATGGATATGAAAATTATTCAGGAATACCACACATATAGACTTACGTAACCGGTAAATAAGAAAAACTGGGAGAAATATTTTCAAATTTTTATCAAAATTATCACAGAAAAAAAATTAAGATAAAATATCACAATTAACTTCTGTTCTCTTTACTGATCAGTTAATATTCTTGAGGTATTTGTTTCTCACCTTTGTAAATTTGCACTTAAAGAGAGTATCAACCGAATGTGACTTTTCACAAACTGTTTTTGAAACAGAATTGCTCGAGAACGGTGCCTTTTATATTGTGGAAATGATTCAAAAAAATGATTTTCGTCTGTATATGTGTGTGAAGAAGAAACTGAGAACCAAAAGCACTAACAAAAAGTATGTATCAGTGAGAGAGACTCTCGATATAGTGTACATACGTATTATTATTTCAAGCGATAACTGCTTTCGTGCTAGCCAAATTTTTATTTCTCTTCCTCGATATTTCTCATTTTGAGAAGGAATGATTTGGATAAAATAATGAAAAATCGTCGGAAGGCTTATGATAAAATCCAGTAAATTATTTATCAATAATTGTCAATCATTAAGAACACATGCATGGACATCAGAAAATTCGATCGATCTTTTTCTGAATTCGACAAACCGAGAGAGATTTTCTTTTCCCTTTTTCGCAAACAAATAATGATTTTTCCTTTCGTCGTTTGGCACTAACAGTATTTAATGAATATGATAAAAATAACAATTAGACATCAACAACAGTTTATGACGTTTGGTCAAATTATCATTTTTTAACTTTCACACATGCCACACAAATAATAATTTCTCGCGAAGAGAGGAAATCAGCTTTAAATGTCATGGGATTTTCAAGATGAAAAATAGTGAAAAATTATGCAATAAAAATATTTATTATAAGACTGCACTCACCAAATTTCTTTAATTAGGAGTGAGGTATACCATAAACCGAACATTTTTCTAGGTTGTTGACGAAAGAGAACCTAAACAATATACAGAATTTGATATTAGGCATAAAATTTCATTCTGCATTATTTATTGCAAGGATTAATATTAATTGTATAGGTGGATAAAATGGATGTAGACTGCACATGCAATTATATAAAATAAGCTCAGTCATAAGCAAGCTTTCAAAAGCTCTAAACTATACGGTCTGAATAATAATATAATGACGATATTGACACATTCAATACACATTTATTCATTTTCACTTCCAAATCACCAATTCACTCATTCAATTCATTTCAATTATACTTATTTCTTCTGTCAATTGGAATCGATTCTGTGATGAAATCAAATAAAATTAAAGATTAATGACAAGCATATTACGTACATTTTATGGTATTATCAAGTGACATGCGTCTAATGCATTAATTATGCTTCCTTAAAATTCATGCAACTATAACCATTAAAGTTTGATTGCGTAATAAGAGAAATAAAGATAAATATATAGCAATTTTGGATGATAATTTATTTATGTATAAGTGTTATGAACGTTTATAGGAATAATTCTTTTGATATGCTACCTATCTAGAAATAATTGTGTGCTGTAGCCAAAAATTATGCAATGATATTGTGCGACTTGAAAATAATGTGAATTCACTTACCTGACACTTGTGAATGATAATCTTGCCGAAATTGTGTATTGTACTTAAAGACTGTTTATCAGCAATCGATATTTTCACGAATTTATCTTTTCGCAAAAAAAAAATAGCTTTCTGGATGTGTGTTAAAGTCCAACAAAAATCAACAAGTTTCTGTGATAAATTATAGTATATTTAAGCAACAATTAGTAGAGTATTTTATGTCTTTTAATGCCTTTGTAAAAAGATTACAAATCGGTCTAGATTTAATGCAAAATTAGAGCATTAAAGTTATCCTTTCAAGAAAATTATGACAATTGCTTTTTTAGGGGTTAATTGTAAAGTTTTGTCAATCGAATCTTACACTTTATTGCCGGCTTTTTTAAATTTCTATAAAATATAATGAATTGTGTCACTTACCTATACAATTACTATTAATTCTTGGTAATTTAAATAAATGACAATGACTTTTAAGCTTTAAAAATACTGGAATAATGTCCATGCACAATTTGAGAACCTTACAAATGTCTACTGCTCTATTGCTAAAATTGTGCTAAAACAAGTAAAAATGAATGATTTGTCAGTGTTAATAACGAATTTATTCTACCATATAAAGTAAGCTTGTTTTTTGATTTTTCTTGTTGATTTAAATTGTTTCAATATTATTTGTTTGAAAATACCAGCAAAGTCGAAGAATTTCAATCGAATATATTAAGCTTTTCAGCTTTTTTAAGTTTTGGACAAACAGAAATGCTAAACCATTTCATCACTTATAAGAATTTGCTAAAAAGCAAATTGCACTGGATTTCTGTCAAAAATTAATTCTTTAAATTTCGCTTAATTATATAGTTTTCCTGTAAAGAAAATAAATAATTAAAGTAAAGAATCTACCTATAATTAAGGTAAGTATAAGATTGGGTCGGAAAATCTAGGATAAATCGGAAAATATTGAATTTAAAATTCCTTTGTCATTCATTGAATTTCCATGATAATTTTTCACTTTTTAAACCATTTTAAATGTCGTAAAATGAAATTTTCTTAAAATATTTCATTAATTAAGATACTTTTTGTTCTATTTAAGTCATTATTGGACATTTTAGAAACTTTAAAAAAAAGATCAGAAAATTTATTAAAATATTAAGACTTACAGTTAAATCTCGCGTGATTAGACATAACTGACTCTTTTTAATTTGATAATCAATTCCTTAATAAAATCTGAGACATTTGAAATAAAAATAGTGAACATAATTAATAAAACGTCTTAACTGGATCATTCAGTAACCATCAATTCTCAAATACTCGAGCAGTCTCAGTGAAAAATGTAAGATAGACAGCCTGAATACAGTAAAAACGGTTTTTAAAATGGAAAGAAAAAAAATTTGCATAGATTATTATCTTGAATTCATTAACAATTTTTCATGAAATACATTGATGTAGCATAAAATGCAGAATAATAGAACTTTTTAGACCTTTACTGTAATTAAATTTTGAGCATTACAATGTATTTGTGTGTGAAGCACAAATTATGTGTTCATGTCAAAAATAACAACAAACAATTGAAAATCAACTGATATAGTCTCTCTTTCAAGCAAAAAAAGTAGAAAGATTCAAGTCTTGGTGCCAAGAGCTTCAATTGATTGTACTAATTTTTATTGATTTTCATTTTTAGATCACATTTCACCTTCATTATGGCATGTGCAACTTTAAAACGTTCTTTGGATTGGGAAGCACTTAATCAGCGTCCTACAAAGAGGAGGCGCTGTCTTCCATTTGGAGCTAATCCATCGTCTCCAACCACATCGACTAAAATTGCTGAATCATCCACAGTCTCTCCATTTCTTGAAGCATCATCGTTAGCTCCAAAATTAACTCCAGGTACACAATTCACACATATCATTTGTCATTTTCATAAATTTATAATCATGTCCTTTTTGTAGAAAAAATGGCTGAAAATATTCGCGAGGAAATTCGTCGATTACATCGCAGAAAACAATTGTCATTTAATAATTCAGTTCATGAATCAATGCAAGACTCAGATACATCTGGAAGTGAAATGGGAGCAGAAAGTCCGCGACGTCCTGATACACCACCGACTGCTATTAAAAATCCAGATATGGCTTTATTCACATTTAAGCAGGTAAGCTTTAAAATTGTTTATCTTTTTTAATGACAATCATAGTTTAATGATGTGAATTTTGGGCACAACAGGTACAAATGATCTGTGAACGCATGTTGAAAGAAAGGGAGGAAAAGCTTCGTGAACAATACGATGCAGTGTTAAACAATAAATTAGCAGAACAGTACGATGCGTTTGTCAAGTTTACTTACGATCAGATACAGCGTCGCTATGAAGCTGCTCCAAGCTGTAAGATATTCAAATTTCACTTTTTAATGCAATTTCTTCTTATGCTAATGAATTTTTCACAGATCTCTCCTAATCATCGTTTTTCTTTTCTCAAAATCATCACATTTGTTGGAGAAGAAGTGTGTGTAAGGAATGGAGCTGATTAACTATATCGAAGACATGTGTGTCATAATAATATGATTTCTTTCTTTTTTGTTTACATCAAACAATTTTTTTGCGCAATTAATCTTAGATTTAAAATCATATTTTCTGATTTTTTTATGTTTAATTTGTTAGATTTTTTCCACAAGATTCATAAATTTAAAAAAAATTCTTTATCTTCTTTATCTCGTAACATAAAGATACTTTTATACAATTTTATAAAGAGATATAAGAAGTTCATGATTCTTTTTGGTCATTTATTTGTTAAGGAAGTTGAAAGCAAGTGAAAATATGTGTTTATGATGAAAAAACAAGGCTTAAAACTATCATTTTTGGAATTTTCGAACCTAGTAACTATGGACGAGATTTGACTAGAAGCTTTTCTTAGCCTTAGAATTTAAAAATTCTAATTTTTTATGATCAATTAATTGACTGGTTATTTACGACATATTATCAATTTGTCTAGTTTATATACAGGAGGAGATTAGTCTCAACTCTTGATTTAAAGCATTAATTATCATATTTGTACTGAAATAGTGAGTACTAAGATTTTGTTGTAACGGGTTTTGTCCATAGTTATTAGGAATTAAACTAAAAATATATTTAACATTTCAATGATTCTTATACGAAATTAAAAAATAATATAAGGAAGAATGAGTAATAATGAATATCAACTAGTAACACTTTCGAGAAAAAAAATCCTAATTATCCTTTTAATGAACATATAAAGATACTTTTATAGTTATCATCAAGAGAAAAAAAATATGAACTAGTAGTTTGTGCCTATCAAATTGATTCATTATAATCACAGAAAGAGAAAAAAAATAATAACATTAATCGATACATAAACTGATAAATTTAAAGATATAAAAAATACTGGAGTTGCTACATATTTTAATTAATATTACTAGAATACCATAAAATAATACTACTCATACTTACAATGACCTATGTTTTTCCAAAATGATAGGAAGCATAAAGTTATAGCAGACAAAAATTTGCGAACATATGTTTTTTTTTCTCCCCATCATAAACCAAAATTGAATCACAATTGATTATAAAAAAAAAAAAAAAACAATTAAATTTAAGGTCTTTTTGTAAATCTTTAACTATTAAGTGCTAAGACGTGAAGAAAAACATTGAATAATGCGATAATTTTTTATATGAAGATTAAAAAAAACACACACACAAAACATAAGGGAATGTTAAGCTTTTCTGGCGAGATTTTTTAAATACTTTTCATTCGAATGGTTAATTATGATAGATAAGAAGTTAATGATTATGATGAAGAAAGGTTTTTTTTTGTAACTGATCTCGCATGATTTACAATTAATTTTTTTGCGCGCGATATGAGCAAGTAATGAGACATTTTTTAAGAAAATCATTCAATTGCTAAATAAAGTAAAAACTTAAAATTAAATACATCTTTTTTCATGACTTGTTCTGCCTTTATAAAGTGGTCTATTTTCAAACAAAAACGGCAATCGAGAACTTTTTGGAATAGTTTCACATTTCTTCGGGGGTATCTCATTTAAAAGCTGACATCAATACAAGATGATTCCCCAAGTTTCAAGTTTTTTCGTCCGCTTGGTGATGAGTAGCAGGTCCTTAAAGTTGGGTATAGACGAATTTTCAGTTTTTTTGATATTCTTTGATCAAACTCAATTTGCACGAAAACTACTCAAAAAGTTCTCGATTGCCGCTATTGTTTGAAAATAGACCACTGAGCTTTATATATACTTTCAACAAGATGTTCGTAACGGTTTTTTTACATTCAAATTTATTATTGTTGAGGTTTTAAGGTTAAAATTTATTAGAAACAATAACAAACTCACATGAAATAATATTTTTAACAAAATGGATATTGTGAAGGAAGTTTTAGACAAGCAGGCAAAGGAAGCAGAGAAGTACAAGCCAATTAATGTTGTGAAGCATGAAGAAGTTAAGATAGATGCTGGTAGATTGATGATTTCTGATCCGAACGTTTTTTCTGAAGAAATAAAGTAAGTCAAAATTTGTTTTCATGCATTTTCAACATGATGTTTATAAAAAATAATTTTCTAGAGAGAATACAGAGTCATATCTGTTGAATCTGACTAGAGATAATGTTCAATTACTTGTGAATAGTATTTGGGAACTTCCAACAGAAAGATTAGATGAACATATTGTAGTTAAATTACCTAAACCGAGTTTTGCACTTCCAAGAGCAAGAAAACTTCCAGTTCCGAGAGCTCCAACTAAATGGGAGCAATTTGCTAAAGACAAAGGAATTGTTAAGCGAAAGAAGGACAAGAAAGTATGGGATGAAGAGCTTGGAAAATGGGTTCCAACTTATGGTTATCAAAAATATAAGGCAGAAAGAGACAAGGATTGGGTGTTGGAGGTGCCTAAGAATATAGATCCAATGACAGACATGTTCCAAAAGAAAAAGGATTTGAAGAATGAAAAGATTGCCAAGAACGAAATATCAAGAATGAAGAACATTGCTAGAGCACAAAAAGTGGATATGCCTCGTGTTGGTTTTGTATCTGAAGAATCTGCTAGTGCTAAGGATCTTTTGGTTGCAGCGACTATAGCAAAAGCATCAACAGCATCGGTTGGTAAATTCCAAGCTAGTTTACCAAAAGAAAAGACTGCTCGCGGAATCGGTGTAAGAGAGCTAATTCCTGGTTCACAAAAACGAAAACGAGCTCTTAATAATGCAATGGAAAAATCAGAACAGATTGAAGTTGTTGATAAACTGTTAAAGAAGAGACCTAAAATTGATGTTGAGAAGGCAGTTCAAATTCAAAAGAGAGAAGACCGTGAAGAGTAAGTTTTTATTCTTTTATTCCATAGATTATAATGTAATTAATAAAAAATTCCTTGTAGACGTGAGAAGAAACCAGTCGAGAAGAAAAAGAAAGGCGGTAGCAAGTCAAAACATGCTAAAAAGTTCACAAAGAAACCCAAATCTGGAATGGGACGTGCTGGAAACAAAAAACCTGCTGGTAGAAAACGACGATAATAAGTTGATTGTAATGTTTAAGGTTTTAATATGCTATAATTAAATCTTATGAAATAAAACTTCTTTTATTAATATCTGTATGCTTGCTTTAAGTTCACATTTATTTGAATGAGCAGTTTCTTGATTTCGGATTATTTACGCAGGTCGTAAGGTAGTCAAGAACGAAAATTCTCATAACTTTGTTGAAATTATAGATTGAATTGTGATTTAAATTCCTTCCATCATCGTCATTTGTATGCCAAGTTGGAGGGAACGACATAGGTATTAGATGAAGTATTGAAACTCCTCTTTTTTGAAATGGTATATGATCGTCACTTACTCCTAAATTTCTGTAGGAATTTAAAAACATATTGCGATTTCCATTACCAATTGCTTTCAGAGATGACGCCTCACGAAGAGTGTTTTCAATTTGTGTAAGACGCTTATTCAATGGACATGTGTTTGGTGTTGAACAAACAAATCTTGCATTTCCACTTCCAATTAAATCAAGTAGCACCATAACATTCTAATATAAATTAAGATAATGTCATATGACAAAAAGTTATATTTTCTTTAAAGGTCGTTCACGAATGACGTCAATCTAGAAAATTAGATTTTCACAACCCCCACATTTCTTTTTCTGGCACTAAACTTCACACATTTAATTTTCTTTTAAAAAAGAGTATTATACGTCATTTTTGAACGACCCACATTATCACTTACAATTCTGTCAATTTCTTTTTCATTCTTGTACTTTGTTTGTTCCCACTTTTTCGCCAAATGTCTTGATCCATACAAAGAATCGTTATCGGACCATTGTTCAAAGGCTTCCTCTCCATCGAAAAAAACAAGCATCAGTCCGAGATTTTTATCCTTTAAAACATTTTGAATGTAAGGAAGCGTTGTCTTTACAATATTTAGCATAAGTGCACATGGAACAGCTGTGATGTATAATTTTGTGAACTACAAGTCGTTATATAAAAAAGTTAATAAATACCTGAATCAGTAGCACCGACAAACTTATTATCTGGGAAATATTTCGAGTCATAATGTGCAGATAACATCAAGAATCGATCAGCATTGGGATTAATTTTTCCAACAATGTTAACGAAATTTATTTTCCCAAATATTGGTGCATTATCGTAAAATGAATCAAGTTCTACAGTCATTCCCATCGATTCCATTTCACCAATTATAAAATTTTGCACTTTTTTTGATCCATCAGTTGATGCAACTCTTGGGATAAGAATGTTTTGGAGTGCATTGTCAAAATGTTTCTGGTCGTCTAATTGAGCTATTTTTAGAGCATCTTGATAGTTCAAAGCACCTAATGACTAAGTATTAAATTTATTAATTTATAGTTTTGGTTGAAAATAACGCATGAAATATTTGAGCATTTACCTGTTTGAAAAAACACAAATAAAACAGAGTCAAGGCTACAGAAAGCCTCATTATAATTTTTAATAATTATTGGTTCTTCTGTTTATTTAATTAAAGCAGGTAGCAATCATTCAGATTCTTCTAAATTATTACTTTAGATTCAGGAAATGTTAAAAAAATATTTTTTGAAGTCGTTATTTACGTAAGTTGAAATTGTGACACCTAAACAACCTACACCGTCGATGACTTAACAATGACTGAAACGAAAAGTAACAACATCGAGTATCAAATACAATCAATGAGCTTCATGTGTAGTATTTTGATGTGAAGCATGGCATATGTGTATAGACGACTCGAGTGTGCTTTCGCTCACAATAGTATAGAAAATAAAAATTAACAGTAGCACAACAGTGAGAGTTATTGCTACTGGTAACATCATATGACGTTGAGAGAAGAAAATGCTGCGGCAATAACAGTATGGGATGAATGAATTGACAAAGTTGACAAGAAGCGAGATGAAAAATTTGCATAAATAATTACCAAAGTTTTTATTAGGTTTCGGTCGATTCTATCCGTATTTACATAAATTGAAATTGCTTTTTGATTCATTCAGACTTCTTGGGCATTTTCCGTAAACAAGTTCACATTACATGTTCTCTTTCAATTATTCCTTTTATATCCGTTAATTGTCGTGTATTAATTTATTTGGTACGCTTAGCTTTTAGGAGCTCGAGCAGAGTGTTTAACCTTCGTTTGCTCAAAATGTCGTATCTAGAAATGTTTATAGTCAGGGAAATTGATTGAATCCTTCATTTAAGGTAAGTTGTGGACCTAAGAATTGACAAAATTAAAGTATTACTTCCAGAGCTATATTGTACCGAAGCTCAGTGGATGGAACATGCGATTGGAAATCGTATGACGTAAAAACCAAAACTAGTTCGGGATCTGTTATTCAAAATAGCAATGATGATTCTTATTATACTTCTATCTATAAAGAAGAAAATGTCTATGTCCTGAACAGTTGTTCAATTTATTTCTCAATTGAATGTTTTCCATGAAATATTCGATACATGTCATTGATAACTGTAACAACATTTATTGTCAATATAAAGCTCAGACGTGATATTAATAATAAGTGATTCACATCGAACAGGTAAAAATGTTGTATGCGTAAATAAGAGATAAATACCCACACAAAAAGTGAGTATTCATCGTGACGAGTACGTGGAAAGTAGGTGGATGGAAAATTGTATGACGATAAACAAAAATTAAAGGATTAGAGATAATTGGAAATTTCTCTTTTGATTTACAATCGACGTGTGTGACGTGTTTGAAAGCTTTAAAAATATTTTTTTCTTTAATTATATTATTTTATTACTAGCTATAAAAAAGAAGTTTACATGAATAAATTAAAGAAAGGCAAGAGAGCTTATGCTATTAATTACAAATGAGAGTTTCCTACATTTAAATAAATATCATTTCTAATACCACATTTGTTTGCATATCATTCTAAATTCGTTATTTCTACTGATTTGTTGAACATTTTCACAGATTTTCTATTGCTTTTATACAATTTGTGTGACTAGAAAGTCAACCAGTTATTTCAGTATTTTATACATTCTTTAAATTAACAGTCTTACTATAAACATAATAAGAAGTGTTAAAGTTTTGTATTTATTGACTTAAATGAGGCACGAGAGCGAACAGATCTTTGTAACATGCTTGAACTATATTCTCCACGTGTTGATGCGCGCAATGAAGCTTGACCAATAGAATGACTTCTTTGGAAGTTTCCGCATTCTTTGTCAACATCATCGTCAACTTGTTTTGCGCAACATGGAAAATCAAACATTCCCTGACCACGACCGAATTCTTCACCATCAGCCAAAGTTTGCGGCAGTTCATGATTTAATGTTTCTGGCAAGTACAATGAAAGAAATCCACCGAAAATTCCGAGAATTCCTAGAACAATCAATGGTAATTCGTGCATAATGTGTGATAAGTAAACTACAAAAGGTGCAAGTATGCTTGCTACATATCCCATAATGTGAATGAAGGCGACACCTTGAGCTCGCACAACAGTTGGCAACAATTCAGCTGCATATTGCAATCCAATATTATACGATATATTAACAGAGAATCTTCCAAGAATAGCTAATGCTGCTGAGGGTACGCCCACTGGCACACAAACAGCAAGTAAACTAAATGTTCCACTCATTACCATCGTTCCAAATGCAAGCCACCTTCTACCCCAACGATCTAATTTAATGAAAAAGAAATTTGTATTTGAGTAAGAAGAAAATAATGTAAGCAAATTACCTAATGTTAATGTCAATAATGTATCAGCTGGGAATTCCGTAGCAGCAGCAATTGTAAATGTAATGAAAAAATCGAGACCGAGAGAGCCAACATTTCTCACATGTCCGTCGAAAACAAGAGAAATCACCATCCATATAACAATTAGTAATATCGTTATTCGTCTTAATCGAGGAGTTTTAAAGAGATCGAGTAATGAGTAATTCGCATTTTCAGCTTCTTCTTCCTGCATTCTCTTACAGCTCTCATCAAAGTCTTTGTAGATTTGCGGCGAAACTTTACGTCCATTGATTTTCTCAAACTTTTTCAAAATCTTTGTTGCTTCTTCTGTACGACCTTGAGACACAAGCCATCTACACACGTACGAGAATAAAATGAGAAACTTAATTGTTTTTAATTCAATAAAAAAATTATAAAAATGTTTACCTAGCAGATTCTGGAACAACAAAAGGCGTAAAAACAGCAAGAATCAATGGTGCTGATGTCACTATAGCAAACATTTTCCAATCAGCAATATAATAAGCCATCCAAGGAAGACCACATGAAGCGATTGTAAAGAAAATTGCAATTGACATGTTTGCAACAAATGTTCGCCATTTTGCTCCCGTATATTCAAGCACTATAAAATAAATAGATTTAATTAATTAATCTCAATAAAAAAAAAAAATTTATTCTCAACCTAATGCAATAATTAATGTGTCAAAAAATATTCAGCAATTTGAATTAGGTGAAAAAATAAATGCAAATGCAACTAGTGTATCGGGTAGAAACCCAATGCGGATTATATTCACACCGTACTATCATAAGTCTTATGGATAGACCAAGATTTGCCCATCAGTAGTAGTATGGAGGTATGAAGCTTGATAAGTCAACTAAGCTTCGCTCAGCATAAGTTTGAAGTTATAAAGCTATCGCGTAAGCTGAGCTACGCTCAGCATAAGTTTGAAGATATGAAGCTAGAGAGGCAGCTGAGCTTCGCTCAGCATAAGTTTGAAGTTATAAAGCTATCGCGTAAGCTGAGCTACGCTCAGCATAAGTTTGAAGATATAAAGCTAGAGTGTCAGCTGAGCTACGCTCAGCATAAGTTTGAAGATATGAAGCTAGAGAGGCAGTGGAGCTTCGCTCATAAGTTGAAGTTATAAAGCTATCGAGTCAGCTGAGCTACGCTCAGCATAAGTTTGAAGGTGTAAAGCTTGACGAATATGCCAAATATTCTTTAAAAGTTTTTTAAAAAAAATTTTCATCCAAAGTTGAATTTTATAAAAATCACAGTCAACTTTTGTTTTAAAAAATTCGTAAGAAAGGAAAGTTTTTTGCCATTTCTGAAGCAACGGCTGTTCCTACCTTGCCCAAAAACAATACAGCTCTTCTATAGAGCAGCACGGATCAAATGTAAAAAACCAAAAGTCTCTACGATGTCTCGTTATTTAGATTTCTTGCTGATTAACTTGCTTGCTTGCTTGTTTGCTTACAGAAAGCGTATTTTGCGATTTTCTCAGCAATGCCACAACCAATTTGAAATCTGTTTCTTGAAAATGATGTAAAATTTCAGGCACAAACTTTTCTCGTTGCCCTTTTATAACCAATTTTGCTTTGTTTTCTCACAAAATGCGAAAAACTGAATTTTCAATCTGAACAAAACCAATAGATTCACACGTGAAAACGGTGTGAATATAAAAATTTATAATTAACAGATGTTAGATGATGAATAATTAGCACTGGAATGTAGTTTACAAATTGAAATAATAGTTTTGTGGCTGGAAGGATCAACCGATTTAAATTATATCTCATTTGCTCATAGAAAAACATACAGAATTACAGAGCATGACATTTAATTAAGCTAATTAGTTCTCATATTTATCATTCACGTGTGCATTACATAAATGTGCACATCAAACTAATTTTAAGGACTTTCATTTGCAAAACGTTTGATATTGAATTATAATTAGATCATTACTAGACAGCTATCATTATCAACATCTTAATCTGTGATTGATTCAATAGAACTAATTAGAAATGATAAAGTGAGCATGAAATCTGAGGTCGCATAGGGGAGTTGTAATTTGTCAACAATTTCCTGATTTTTCATGCACATCTGAGTGAAAAAAAATTTTATTCTGACAGGCTCTATAATTAAAGTCACAAATAAAGTGCACATGCTCGCAAAAATGACTATATTATATCCCGTTGAAAAATTGTTTCGAAATTTCGAAACCAGGTGTAATAATCTATTTACATTCACACACCTTATTTGTAGGTTTGTCATGTTAGGAGCTTTATAAAGTACAACAAAAAAGCGGACATTAATAATTAATTTTCAACATGTGATGTAGTTCTACAATTTATTACATTGTGCATTTCCTATAAATCAAAAGAATAAGTCGTAAGAGCTACACGAAAGATTGTTATAATTATTAAGTCTAATTTACGTCAATAATAAGTGAGTAGTTCTGAACATTACACATAAATCCTTCCTATAATGATCAATCATATGAAACTTATTCAAAACAACTCATTTGAAAATATCCGCAAAAACCAGATCTGGTTTGTTCTTGACATAGAAAATGCTAATAATGACGATGAAAATAAAATATCATAATTAAATGTGAATAAAATTCATCAATGTGATGAAACAATAGAGCTTCAATTATCGATGATGTAAAAACTTTTGAGTATCATCTTTAAATTTGACTGCCACATTGTTTTTAAATTCTTTCATAATAACAAGCAAGAAAAGCTTAATTTTAAATGCTTCGTAAATTTGTGAAGACAGTGAAGTAGTGTTTGAAAGCTATACCGAGTGGACCTTTGATGATAATGTCTAGTAATTAACAAGGTTTCTTAATTTTGGTCATTATTTGAGCATAAGTCTTGGTTATTTACTAGACATTAGCATCAAGCGTCGTCATAAAGAACTCACATCCTTTATGGATCCTTTATCCTATCCAAAACAATTGATCCTTTGTAATTATGAACTCTATTTAAAATCAGCATGATGCATTTAAAATAAAATCTTTTGTGAACTTTTTGAAACATTTAAGTGCATTAAGTTATTAAATTTTTAATGCTGAAAGGAATTTAAAGAATTTAAAGAACCGGTTCTTATTTATTTCCTTGAAGTCATTCAAATTAAGTCCAAAATTTACTTTTAAATTGTATGTCCTGTTTCTCAACAGTGTTCTTTTTCCAAAGATCAACAGACAATGTTATTAAACCTAATACCAAACGCTTCTGAAATCTTGAAAATTTCTTATCATAAATTCTTTAATCATCCTCACAATGATTTTAAGTATTTTTAAAAAAATCGGAATCGCACTATCCATCAATGTCATTTCACATTTTGTTATTCTCCAAGATCAGCTGTTTACGGTTGTGCGGTTGATTTGTATGTTTTGATTTTCAGTGTCAAATAACTTTGCAATGGTTTAAGTGCAATGACGAAATAATAAAAAGTACTGTGAAATGCATTAATTTTACTTCCTGAACATCAAACTAAGACAATAAGGTTTACAAACCCAATTGTCGTGGAACAAGAATAAAATTTTAATTCCAATAGTTTCGAGTCTAGAAAAATGACACCTGTTTCATAACGAGTAGAAAATGTGTCATGTCATAAATGAACATAATATGCACTATTTCATTACGCACATGTATTTTATAATACCTTATTTTTCATTGCAAGTTTAAGGCATTCAGACAGGTGAATGTTGAGTGCATAAACGCAACGATAGCATTACTATAATAATAGTAAGTAGCTCCAAACAAAAACGTGTACAGAGTGACGCCTTTTTACGATGAAGGTCGGCAGTGCGAAATGTTTGCCATAAAATATTTTTTAAATGGATAAAATAAATGTACAATTCAAAGAAGGAACAAGACTTGATACCTCATTGTCTATGATCAAGCGAATATTTGAATAAATTGCTAATAATCAAAAAGGGAATTCCTTAAGAGTCATGAGTCATTATATAATAAGAACATGCAAAATAACTTATGATTTCCTGCCTGCTGTCTACGATATGTTTGATGTGTTTCTAACAACTCAATTGTGTTATGTTAATACTTGTTGCTGGATTTTTGCATAGTAATGTATGTATATGGGAATAATGATATATAATTCATAGAATAATGAACGTTTGATTGGTTATTCAGGAACAACCCTTTAATTAAACTTCCTTAATCGGAGACATTGCAAAAAGAGTTCCAATTTAAATTCAAGCGTTTTAACAAATTTTGTATTTTGGCTAAAATCGCTTTAGTTAATTATTTTTGATATTCTTTTACTGTTTGTAAGTTCACTAAACCTTGAGAGGTTCAGCAAACGAACATGATTCGCTTAGATTTAAATTAAAATGCAAATCGCATAGAATATTTCATATAAAAATTATCGTAAATCTTTTTCATGCATAACATAAATAACTCAATAAACGAAGTATAAATAGCAGCAATAGTTGTAATATTGAATAATAAATAGAGCACACGTAAACAATTAAGTGAAATCTGATATGATCTAATTCAAATTCTCACCTAATATATACATCATTGTAAAGCAGTTGTCAAATGCGAATCCTACGAAAAATCGGCAAACACTGAATTGCCAAAAATTGCCAACAAATGCAGTTGCAACACCAGCTACGAATCCAATAATATTACAGCCAGCTAATGCTGGAATTCGTCCATAATGATCTGCGATATATCTAATTATGCAAAATGAAAAATAAAATTGCATTTTAATTAATAAGAGAAAAATTTTACACTTACCCGAAAATTAAGCCTCCGACAATAGCACCCATAAAGAATATAGATTGCGATAATGTCGGTAAAAATGCATTTTCACACACCCAGTCAAACTGTTGATATTAAAGAATAATTATTTTGAAAGGAAATGATCATAAAAATCTGATTTCAACTACCTCAGTTGCTACGGTGCTATAAGGTATTTCAGTAAAGTTATATTCCCATCCATATGCACACGATTGTTTTGGCCAATTTGGATCTGCCTTCCTTATTCCAAGAGAATGTATATACGTAAAATTCACAGCATACATTGTACATTTGCTATATCCATCGTTTTCATCATAAGGAATTGCAAGCTGCCGCCTAAGAATTATTCAACAAAAAAGAAGTCATAAAGTACTAATTGTATTGACCTTATAAGCTTGTCGACGCTATTAAAAATCTTGCATCCATTGTAAAAATAATAATGCAATAAATTGAACTGACATAAAATGTCAATTCATGGAAACTGAATTGATCTTCACATGCTGATATTCATTATGAATCAAAATATTGATTTTAATAATTTTAATTTGATATATTTAATTTTAAAAGGCATATGACTGTGAGAAATATTCCAGAGCTTGTTGAATAAAATTGGTAATTAGGCGGAAATGTCAATGAAATTTCATGCAAAAAACTAGTATTCTACTTTCGGGAAAATTTGCGTTATTTACAGTAACACATGATAGTTTAATATTAAAATGCTAAATATGATGCAGGGCGTAAAAAGCAAATAAATGGAAGATTATGGGATTAGAAAATTAAACAAATTCGTGTTTAAGCTAAGATGTTGTCCAAAATGATATTTTATAAAAGGTGGGTGGTTTTATGCATGAAACTTTAGCAAGGCAACTGTCTTTAACTTCTAAAAACAATCTTAAGTATGTTAAATATTGTAATGATCAACTTAATATCTTGATATTGCATAACTTAGACCTATATGAACCGCTTCAAATGCCATCGTGAGTCAAGTTCAATTCGCATCACAAGGCGCGGTATTTTCTGCGTAAAGAACGCTGAACATGCACTTGAAGAAAAAAAAACTAATTTATTAGTCAATTTTTTCTCTTTTTCAATTGGATTGTAGGTAAATTAAACTTAATTAACAGACATGGCGAGAACCAGAACCACATGTTACTATTAATATTAACCACAATTAATGTCATAGTAAAGTAAAGTTTTTAAGGCTACTGAATTATTTTCTTGTTGCTAGTCTCAAATTGCAATTTAATTTTTCAATATAATCATTCTCAATCTTTTAATCCTATGCTTTTAGTGGTAATATGCAAATGACGTCCAGTGTTTTTCAAATACAAGACATTTCTAGGATTATTAATCACAAATCTATTGGTTGATTCTGATCTATCTTGCATAGTAGAGAAAACAGTGTCACATCCCCTTCTCAAATCCAAAAGTTTAAATCATTATTGTATAAACGTTATTTATAAGGAATTTTAATGCATTAATTCAGAAATACCGGAAACGATTAAGAACATAATAAGTAAAAATAATAAGACTGAAAAATTCTTCTAATTGAAGTGAAAAAATGATCAAACTATAAAAACGTTAGCTTGATTGATTTGGAATTATTTGCAAGGATTTTATTCGCAGTCATGAGTCAGTGAATAAGAAACGTTCGAAAGGTTTCCGCGATCATTACACGGATTTGTAAAAAATTATGAAACCTTTCCATATGACTTGTGTATAAAGCTCTGCATTCTTTTCCTATTGCAGAACTCACATTTTTGTTTCGAGTGAGGAACAGCATGACTTTTTGTGACCATGCAGAACTCATATTACTTTTAAGCAGACATTTAATAAATGACTGGAAACATAAACACTTAATGAACTAGGAAATTTTTAAGGTGTAACAACTTTCAACTTGAAATTCAAGCGCTTCTAATGAAAAAGAATTGAAACTAAAACGTGATTGAAGAAAATAGTTCCATATCTTAAAATTTGATTAATCGGAAACTGTTTTATTGCGGACATTAGCTTCTTATTATTTTTGCAACACAAAACAATCAGTTTAATAGAGGCCCCCCCAAATTGTAAACTAAGCGTGAAATCGAGAGCTGTCAATTGTTTGACTTCTGCAAATTTCGAGTGTTCAAAGCAAGTTTTCAATGAGCCTGTCAAAAGAATCAAGAAGTCAATCAATCTGTAAAGTTAGAACTTTTGTTTTGGTTCAGTACTAAGCACACAAGTCAGAGTTGTAATTCTATTTTCTAAGATCTAGATCAACTTTTACATTCTAGACTAATTATTTATTGATCAGGAACTGCAAAATTAAATTAGCAAAAATCTGGTTTGGAACTGTAGTATCTAATTGCATGGTGTGAAAGGAAAGAAAAACGAGAGCAATAAATAATAATAATAATAATAATAATAATAATAATGGTGTGTGCATAACCAACTCTAGTACATCCAAGACTTTTTTGCTTCCAAAGTATTTTTCAGCTAAATAAGCAAGTGAGTAATAATTTTTATGATTTAATCACCTAATTGAAATGGATATCCACATGTATCAATCAATTGGTTTTTGTTCATATTCAACACAAGATGTAATAAATTAATTAGTTCCTCCATTTAACACTCATAATTTCCATACTGTGGCAACCTGAGTGTCGAATTCCTTCGACACTCAGTGTCGAAGGATTTAAAAATGTCGAAGGAAAGTCGAAATTTTAAATTTTTTTTGACCGTTGAAAAAAATCAAAAAATAAAAGTAAACAAATAAAAATTTCAGTCATAATTTAATCAATTTTGATATTTTAAAGTATTTGAAAACATATTTGAGTGATTTATTTTACAAATTTGATATTTTATTATGGATAAGTGTTGTGTTCAGTCATGTAGAAAATCGCGATCGAATAATTTAGCACTCTTTCGTATGCCTAATGATCCTATGAATGTAAAAAACTGTTAAAAATATGCAAAATTGTTAAAATATGTCTAATTCGTGATTTTACTTTAGATTTCCAAAGTTTATTTTAGCATTAGTATTTTAACGGTTCTTTAGAATTTAAATTTTTAATGGTATTTTTATTTTCAAATAAAAAATAACGGTCATTTTCGACATTGCCACAGTATGATAATTTCATTAAATACATTGAGATTTGTCTCAATTTTTCATCGAAGATGGAAGATCATTAATCAGCTAAATTTTACAGTCACGCCTCTCTTATGTGCATAACAAAATGACTTAATGTAGCTACCGCACATGTTTAGCTAATATTTGTCATAAACTAATTCATACCACAGACGTCTAATGATATATAATTATACATTTTACAGACATCAAATTTTGTACTTTTACTTCAAGTTTTATTTTTCAAGTTCAATCTGTTTAATTGATACCTTGGCTAATGGCGTGCAGGTTTTCTTTCAATTTAGACATCATGCCAAAATACATAAAAACATTTCATTGCATTAAAGTTGCAATACGCGAAAAAAGTGCACATTATTTTATACATTCGGGTCAAGTTGAAGTTTATTTGATACGATTAATGACGAAAAGGTCGGTAGAGGATTAGGTTTGTTCCAGCTTACTAGGTGCTTAACTTTTAAGAAGATTTAAAAAACTTATGAAAGAAAAACCTTAAAGAATAAAGTGTAATTTATATCACTTAAAGCTTATTTTACTACGGGATTATTTGCAAATGATGTCTATCCGTTTTGGGGAACATTAAATTGTATAAAAGTGCTGCAAAAAGTTTTTTTTACGGCAGTTGAGAAAAGTGGCATGCAAAAATTCTAATTTTTGAAAAACGTCATTAATATATGACCCTTAAGCTATAAAAGCTTTGCTTATGACTATTACTGGCTTATTTAAACACTTCAATAAATTCAGCAATTATATCCGTTGTGAATGTAAAAATTAAACATAATTAATTTTGCGTACATTGCTGTTTTTAAACATCACCTGTGAACGCATGTAACTGCATAAATGATCAGACATAATAAGTCGCTTCTATTTTACTTTGTGTATGAACATAAATGGAGGAAATTATATCGAATTAATAATTTTCTTGTACTGGTGCTATTAAAAGCTAGTTGAATGTAATTTATAAAGTGATTTTGCGTTAATGGAAGTAAATCTGTAAAAAAAATTTCCTCAAGCATGAGTCACTTAAAAAAGCGTGCGATTTTGTTTGCAGCAATAACTGGATATAATAAGGTTTGGGGGTTTTTTTTTGAAAAAGTTCAAGACAGTTGTTTGCTCTCCTAAATAAATACGGAACCAATCAGAATCATTTTTAGTCATTAGATATTCAAAAACTGTCACAGAACTTCTTAGAAAAAAATAAATTTATCGTCTTTCAATTAATAAAGAGTTGTAAGCACATAAATTTATATGTCATTTATATGCAGGCAGAATTAAAAGATTCCCCGGATGAATCACGGTAATTTTGATTCCTTTCCATTGCAACAAGTTTTATTAAAATGTAAGTAATATCCAAACAGGTTTCTAGCAAGTAAAATACATTAGAGTTGAATGACGTCAAATGTGTCTCAGAGATGAAAGAAGAACAAGAGCAAAAAAAAATTAAGAACATATAAAACCAGTATTAAACATTTATTTTTATTGATAATGGCTCAAGCAACTAGTCACTACATCACGAGATATAAAAAAAAACTTTAATAGATCATCATAGAACTAAGGTGACTGGTGAGAAACCAGATGTCAAACTTGTGATTTCCTGCATAAATTATAATAACTAACCTTAGATAATTCTTAACATATTAAAGGCTTATTAAATCTGACTATTAAGAATTTTTGTAGTTTTCGGTGAATATTTATCAAAAATGTTTTTGTCTCGATCACATATAAAGCAGCACAAAGAATAAAATATTATGACATGATTTTAAATGAAAAATTAGCTTTAGCAAACACTCAAATGTGGTGGTTAATGTCTTGTAAAATTAGTTTTATAATTTTTATTTAATACGCCTAGAGCTTTATTGTATTATTTTTCGCTCAGAGTCTTGTTCTTCTTCACAAAGCAAATTCATGTTAAAATCGCATCCACTGCTTATTTCTTGCTCTTATTGTTACTGTTCAATATGAATTGAGCAAATGTTTCGAAGACATCATTAATGAAAAATTTAATTAATATTTTAATGAAATATATTCAAGTCTTGCAATGATTTGAAGAAATGCTAGGCAATCATATACATTTCCTTACTTAAATTATTCGTAAATATCCTGTTGGCACGAATGAGATTAGTTCGATAGATGTCGTAAAAAATGATTCCGGATTTTACAAAACAATGTGATTAATAATGACTGAGAAGTTATAAAATATTCTAGAACACTTAACCTGACTTAAGCATTGGAATCTTGTCTTGAATAATAAAATACTTAGGAGATGTTCGAAAATCTCGTCCATGATTGAAAACGAATTTTTACAGGAATATCACTTTACAATCCTTTAAAAATCCTGTTCGCATTCAATTCACAGATTTAATAAGTATCAGTTCTTACATAAATTTAAAGATTCTATGTATCCATAGTAAACCAGATATAAATAAAAGTTCTTCTATAGAGCGTTTAAGCCTTGGAAAATATTACACTTGCAAACAGCAAAACAAGAAACACGTGAAAAACCTTACCTCTCGTCCAATGTGTATTTTAAATTTTCAAGTTCAGGCACAGCACACCAATGTTCTTCAGGCACAAGTGTTATAAAAATTTGTGAGAAATAAACGAATGCAACGAAAAATGCAAATGGAATCATAAGGAGAAAGAGGATTTTTTGATATCGTCCAAAGTCTCCTATATGTGGCAGAAGATCATCAAAATCGATGATCGGTCGCGAAGGTTGTGTCGGTTGTGGTGTATGCCTTACATCTCCATTTGTATTATTTGATAAATTTGCTGATGAAGATTTTTCATTACTAACAAATGCACTATTAACATATCCATTATTTTGAGGAAGTGTATAACTTTGAGCGTCTTCAGGTTTTGGAGTCATTTTTAATTACTGAGATATTTTAATTTTTTTTAATTTCTCTTTTTATATTAATCTGGAGATTCCAAATTTATTTGTATCACTGTCCATCAGCTGTTTGAAATGATACCATGAAATTTTTCTCCACTATTTTTCTTCTTATCGATTTACTGAATCTTCAACTACGTGAAAAACTAATAAAATCACTAATGCTCATACAAAGTATGTTGTATTAATTATTGTAATAAATCTAGAACACGACTTTAAATGATTCGTATTTTATTTTTTATTGTTGGCAGGTTTTCTCTCTAAAAAATTATTTTATTTTTTATTTTTAAGAGACACGCAGCACAACAAAGAATATCCGACTTAACGTTTGAAAATTGCTTGTAATACTAAATCGCTGCTCACCTCCAGTTTTCTTTTTATACAAAGAGATTTTTTTATAAAGCAGTGGTCAAGTGAGTGCTCAACATTATACTCTGAGTATCATGTCTTGTTTACAGTTGAACGAAAGAGTAAATCAAAATGGAATTGAGATTGCGATGAGACTGTTTTAATCAATATGAGATGTCGACATGATTATGATCAGTTGTTTCATAGAAACAGGCTCTCAGACATGCATTTTTTCTCAGAATTTTTTTTCATAACATTACTCATTCGCACAAAAATATGCCATGCATTCTCTCACATAATGAGTTGAAAATCCTAAATAGAATTCTTTGTAAGAAAAAAAACCCAAAGAATTAATTTAATATTGAATTAAATTTACGGTATATTTAACCATTCAAAATCACTAGAATGATCTGAGCTGACTTAGAACAGGAAGTTTTTAATAAAAAATTGATTAATTTCATATTTGATGGGGTAATTCAGCATGTAATAGAATATTTCGATATTGGCTTTGATTATATGTTTATTGAAAATCAAGTAAATTTCGATACTGTAAATTTAACAGTTCATTGGAAATACGATTTTATGCATCAAAAGAATAAGAAGAAAATTGACAGACATGTTAAATTCTTTAGCAGATCATTTTAAATGCATTCTCTTAATCTTTAACCTTTTTTATTTCGCAAGAGATTTCCCAAATATTTTGTCAACCAAATTCATTTATACAATTAGTTCTCGACACTTTTCAACTAAAGGCACTTTTATAAACTCAAACAAAATAAGTAAAAGTCTTATTGTGGATCTTGAATTGTTATTTTATTTTCATAAATTTTCCATCTTTTTGTAACATTCCATCAAATTCATTTGATAAGTTCATAATATTGAGAATTCTTTTATAATAATTAATGTTTTTAAATTCAATATAAATACACTTTTATTTTTGCATTTCTTCGTTTCATTTTTGTAGGTATGTATGTATGTATGTAATGTAAGGATAATTTAGATTATTTTCTTTGTTATGCTCAATCATTTTTTTTGTTCAATTTTAGTTTTCAGATATATCTGTAACATTGATTATTTGCACAATATCGTCAAAATAATTGCTAAAAGAGACGGAAGTAAATTACTGTCTGAGCAACAAAATAAGTAATAAGTAAAATATTAACAGGTAAAAGGTCAGATAAATGCATGAATAATTAAATTAAAATGCAATAATTCATTACTCAAAATTGAGAACGTAATCTTTAATGGGAATTGGCATATTTAAGCGATTAATATTTTGTGCTAATTTATAGTTAAGACTTTCATAAATGGTCACTCGACATAACTCTTTTAAGCTTCGAGGTTTCCTGTATAGACTTTCAATATAGTTGATTAGAAATTCGGTAGATTTTGTTGGTACTTGAACAATGAATAGATTATGGAGACTCTTAAGACATGAATATAGAATATCATGACGCATAGTTGCATAAAAAAGATTAATTATTTTTAAATAATGCTTATCAGGATCAGTTAGGATAAATTCCTTCCGCATGATTAACACAATAAAGTAGAAAAGGATAAAGTTCCGTCCATTATTTCTAAACGAGTTTCGCAACCCTTCATTTCCGTTCTCATTACATGAAGCTACTTGTAGATGCCGAATTTGATTCCCGCTATCAAATGATAATGCTTCATTAATAATGCTTCCAGGCGTTTTATTGTTTAATGTTATGTTTATGTTTCCACCATATTGAAGGATGAGTAATGATAATTCATAAATACATAGAACATCCGAACAGCGACGAACATTTTGAACCATATCCATAATAGATTGAAGAATATGTTGAGGATGAACAGCCTTTTGCGTGTCCAGTCCATGTTGAAGTAATAGAATTAGAATATTCTTAATAAAATCGAAATTTGCACGCTTTTGAATATCACAATTTACGCTGACAGTAAAATTTTCACTAACACTAAAAATCAGAATATGTAGAGGTGTCAAATTAGATCTATATGAGCAATTTGTCTCGGCTCCATGTTGCAAAAGCAATCGAATACAGTTGAGATAGAAGACCTATGAGTAACATTTATTTTTTATTTAAATTCATTTCTCAATAATTGTCTAATTACCTTCATAGAATGAGTAAATGAATGTAGTGGATCTTTATTAATTAATGGCACAAGACACACCATTAAAGGAGTACTTCCATCTCGCCCGACCATATTTGGATCAGCATTGGGTTCTTCTTTTAAAAGCATATTAACAAGCTCATAACATACCTCCCTGTGAGATAAAAATCACAATTTAGAGTAATAAAGTAATAAATCTTTATGAGAAAGGTCTCACCAGTCACGAATATGACGAAAGACACATGCTAATGCACTGTTGCCTATTGCCTGATTAATTGATTGACGTGCACCATTTTGCAGTAAAAATCTTACTAAATTCAAAACTTCATATTTACTCCATTTATCATATCCATATCGTGCTTCTTCTAATGCATATCGAACTATCACTGCATTCAATGGAGTTGTACCCAAATAATCGGGTGCATTTATCAACTCCTTACATCCATGCTCTAATAATATTTTTAACGTATTAAGCGTATCCTCGGCATTTTTACGTGCCGTTAATATAACCACATGCAACAAAGTCATTTGTTGAGTTGACGTTCGAACCGTTGTGATAGCTTCGTATTGAATTAAAAGTTCAAGAAATTTTCTATCATGTAGCACTGCTTGATGTATTGGATAGTATTCATCTTTAAGCAAATTTATTTCATCTGAACGTGTTGTAACTAAATGTTGAACACATCTCCAAGCTCCTTTTTCGCATGCTAAATGCAATAATGGCTTCCTACCTCGAAATAAAACCCACGGCTCTTCCATTTTTTGTGATAAAATATTTAGCACATTAACATGATCACCATCAATTGCATAGCCTATACAGTTCTGTAACTTTGTATTTGGACGTTCACAAACACTCACATTATCAGGATCTCCTTTATACTTTCCCATCTCTTCGCAATTATGTGAATGTGGTCCGGGAAAACACATTCGAGCTTCAGTATCGAGTCTTGCACCATGCCTTAACAGTAATTCAACGCATTCTTCATGTCCTTTAAGACAAGCTATATGCAATGGCAGTGAACAGGGAAATCGATTAAGGTCCGTATGTGGTTTAGGTAAAATCCATTTCACTAAATCTATGTGATTTAATCCAACACTTTTTTGTAATAAATTGTAACCGAGATTGTCATGCGCATTTAAAATGTTTTCATGCTGCATAAGAGATGAAAAAAAAATTTATAGTGCATGAATCTTTTGAGAAAAAAATTTATGTACCTTTGGTATTTGCAATAATAATGCTTCTAAGCGTTGAATTGATATCTTTGGATTAGCACGGAGAACATCGAATATTGTTTCGATTTTAGATGCTGTCGATTCTGTAAGTTTTGCATTATCACGATTTACGGAAAGCAGTAAACCACCTGAGCGAAAAACAGAATTTCCCATTTTTTAAAAAAATATTGTTTCTTTCCCTTCCTTCACACGTCAACGTTTAGCACTTTACTGAAGAACGTTCATCTATGCAGGTGCTTAGTCAAATGAATAACTTTCCTTATTAAATTTCATTAATAATAAGAATGGAGCTTTACTGAATGAATTATTTATTATGCAATTTTTAACGATTGAGAAATGGTTATGCTGCTCTTTTATGTTTTCCAACTTTATCGATTATATTTCATTAGACACATAAATCAGCTTTAAACGTATAAAGATTATTAATGATTCTATTTATATCTTCTTTTGTGTCATAGTTTTGTAACTTTATATCCACAATCCTATTAGGTTCAGCATGTAAAATGTCAATGTGAAAAAAATCTTTAGATTATTGGATGAGTGAAAAACATTTCTCCTTTGTTGTCTCTTGTGTTTCTCATTAATTCTAGATTCCTAGTCGACTTTCCACACAATTTAATGGTAACACATATAAAACTTATAATTAGTACAACATAAAATTCAATTATGAAGCTTTATTCTAATAAGATAAAAGTTTTCTTATGGTGATGAAAAGAAAAACAAATCCTTTTTGCACAAAAAAAGTTTAACATTTGAAATTTATAGACCACCCTGTGATTATACTAAACTTACTCACATATGTACCAAATACGCCATGTCACTAATGTATAGAAATCACTTGTTGCAAACAAAGCATGTATACCTAAATTTTAAACTTTTTCTATGTACGTTTCGCTTGGATGTCCATTCATAATTCAGTTTTTACTATAAATCGCTTAGGATTAATATTACTTTAAATTTTTTATATATTTTTTTAAGTTTTTTTATTAAGAATTTTAATTATAATAATTTAAAAATCTTGTTGAGCAATTCAAAAAGCATAAAAGCAACATAAATGGCAGCTGAAAATCACTGTGAAAATAACAATTTAAGTGAATTATATGAGAATCTAATTGTGATAGGTGATTTCATACAAAAAATCTGATAAGATTCTTTTTTCACCCCCGCCTTATGTGTTGAAAAATATTTATTCTGATCGTATATCTTTGTTTTTCTAAAATTATTTTTTTAAGACTGCGGTGCTAACTTAACAAATAAAAAGTTCTTCAAAGATTTAGATCAAGTCATTCATAGAGCTCAGGATTCGGGTAAGAATGATTGCAAAAATTATTTACGACTTTTATTGCGACCTTGTTACTTTTTCACTTTTTGTTTGATATACATTCGTAAAATAAGCGCTGATGTTTGTAGTTAAAAATAGAACATTTTCGAACAAATTATAAACGCACAACAATTGTCGTTTATTTTTAGGTGTCCGAAAAATTTTAGTTCATGGAAGTAACATAAAAAATTGTAAAGAGGCATTGCGCCTCACAAGAATCTACCCAGGAATCATCTACTCATCAGCTGGAATTCATCCAATGGACTCAAAAAATGTTATAGACGAACCAAGCTGTTGGCACGAATTTGAGGAAATTTCTAAACAATCTGGTAATTATCACTTATTTAACAAAATCAATAATACGTCAGTGATTTCACAAATTATATCAAAAAAAAAAAAAAAAAAAATTTACAGAAGTTGTAGCTATCGGGCCTTGTGGTTTGGACTATCATAAAGATGTTTCTGAGTGTGAAATACAAAAGGAGATTTTTAAGCGTCAAATCAAGCTTGCGTATGATATTCAAAAGCCTCTTTTAATTCATGAACGATCGGCACAAAATGACGTTATGGAAATATTATCGAGGTTGGTGTGAATTAATGTAAATGTAATTCCATTGTGTCACTTATTATACTAATGATTGTATTATAGTTTTCCGGAATCAGAATTGCCGCCGAGAATCGTGAGAAGTTTTATGGGAACTACAGACGAAGCTCTAATATATTTGAGGGCTGGATTTTATTTATCGCTCACTGGATTTTTATGCAAAGTAAGTCGTTCTTGCTTCAGCATTAATTCTTATTTATGAGTTTTATTGTCACAGGATAAATCTGAGAATTCGGTCAGAAAATTGTTGGAGGATAATTTGATACCTTTGGATCACTTATTGGTCGAAAGTGATGCTCCATTTATGTATCCGAACACGAGAGCATCGAAACTTTCTACAGAAGTAAAATCATGCTTAACTGAACGCTCATTAATGTTTCTACATCGGTAAGTTAATTAACGATTATTTTAATAACACAATTTCATAACCAGGGTTGTTAAAACATATTCTATTTTACAGAATATGTTCACATATCCAACACATTTTGCATGTTGATGTGTACAATGTGTGGCAGAATTCATATGTTGGCAGATAAAATATGTCACACATTGCATATGTGCACATATTTTATGTGTGATGTATGCACATATTTGATGTGTGACACATTATTTTGTGTCACATATGAAAATGTGTGATGTGTGACACATTTTTATGTGTGTAGATATCATGTGTGAACATGCAAAATCTGCACGTATTTATTAATTTGCGGGACTAAGGTAATATTTTTTTGTAGAATTTATTTAAAAAAATTATTCATATATAACCAAAACAATCAAATATTGCATAAAAGAGTTAATTTTCTCCAAAATATGTTCATCAACCTGTAATTTTAAACTAATTTGACTTTATTTTCAAAAAACTTGACTAAAACTTGATTTACAAGTGATTTAGGGACACGAGTTTTCCTATTGAAGATTCGGTCATAACTGAAGCTCATCAATTTTTTGGATTCTTAGTTTAATCTTCATTTCTCCAACAAATAAAGTCAAATTAGTTTAAAATTACAGTTTGATGAACATATTTTGGAGAAAATTAACTCTTTTATGCAATATTTGATTGTTTTGGTTATAAATGAATAATTTTTTTAAATAAATTCTACAAAAAAATATTACCTTAGTCCCGCAAATTAATAAATACGTGCAGATTTTGCATGTTCACACATGATATCTACACACATAAAAATGTGTCACACATCACACATTTTCATATGTGTCACAAAAAAATGTGTCACACATCAAATATGTGCATACATCACACATAAAATATGTGCACATATGCAATGTGTGACATATTTTATCTGCCAACATATGAATTCTGCCACACATTGTACACATCAACATATTTTTGAAAAAGGCCAGATTCTATTTTTAACCACCCTGATTCATAACAATACGATACGTTTATTTATTTTCATTATTCGATACTGCTAGATACTGCACATTTCAAAGAAATGAGCCATGCTGCCTACCAGCATTAGGTAATACTAAAATAAATTAAGAAATTTTGTCTTAAAAGTAAAATTTCTCAGAGGGCGAAGTCGACTCGAAATTTGTATGAAGTCGAGTGAACTCAAGTCGACTTTTCCATACAAAATTCGAGTCGACTTCGCCCTCTGAAACTTCTCTTATGAAATTTCAGTTGAACTGATAGCAGCCTTTATGCAGAAGAAACCAGAGGATATTGCACTAAGTACAGCATTCAATGCTTTAAAGCTTTTTGGATTATCGCAGTAAACAGATCAACGACGTACGAATACTTTTATTATTATTTTGTTAACGATATTTCTTACGACACTTCGACTATAATTTATATATGAATATTTTTACGTATTTTTTTTTACATGTGAAATTTTATATTAATTATTTTTAATTCCAATTAATATGTTTGTTTTCGCAAAGTCAATCCGTGCACGGCATTGATTATTGAATTACCTAATCTCCGTTTCAGTTTCAAAGTTATTTTTTTCTTCTTCATAATATAACATTATTAAGCGTATTAAATAGTACATTAATCACTAAACAATAAGCAATTTAGACTTAAATCAAGGAAATAAGGAAAAAAAAGTTTTTGTTAGAAAGACTGAATTATGAAGCTTCAATATGAATTTAAAGGATGTTATATTCGTTCATACTATTTAACGTCACATAGAAAAAAACATCTCACCAAAAATATTATCCACCTATGAAATCTCTCTTACTATGACCTATGGATATGCGATTTATCATATTATTATTATTAATGTAATTTTTAAGTTTGATAATTTTTCTCATGAATGATTGTGTTTATTAAATTGAAGGTGCTTCGAATCGAATATTAAAAAGTGATCATTTGTTTGAAAGTAAGTGCCATATAATTGGATATAATGCTGTAAATACCGGTACTATTAAAATAATAATTTTTGTAAAAGTGCCTTTGTAAGACTAAAAAAGATATTCTTCAATAAAAAAAGTTTATATGAAACATAATAGCATTTTACCTTATTATGATTTAACCAACCAACTTCTTCTAATGGTTAGGAGTAAAATATACGGAAATTAATGGCCCAATTTTTGGGAATAGTGTTTGCTTTATTTCTCGAATAAATTACTACGCAATGGTCAACAACTTTTTTTAAAAAGAATTATCTAATTTTTAGAAATGCATTTTAGCATTTAACTACAAGTAGTTAAGGAATTACCAAGGAACAATCTTAGATATTAAAACAAGCTGTAAAATTGATCGTTTTAATATGACTAGAAGAATTAATCTATTAAACGATTGTAATTGAACTATAATTCTTTATGTAGTTTTTCTGTTTCAATTCTAAGAGTATTCATCTCTTTCTGAAGCTTGTCTGTTATCATACGTCTAGCGGTAATTTCGTCTAAATTATTATCAAAAATATGCTTCATTACGTCTTTAATATCAATTGGCTTTCCAAAGTTGAAAGTTAATTTGTTGTTTAGTCGGAAATAATAAGGAGGATAATTTGGAAGTAATTTATCCATTCCTTCATGCCATATAGGTATAATAGTTGGTATTATTGGATATGTTTCAAACAATACTCTTCCTACACCCCATTTTAATCTCAAGTATTCTTTTTCCATGTTGACCTTGCCTTCGGGGAATATATGAACCTTAAAGGCATAAAAAGATTAATTTACTATAGAATGACATGCTCAATTCTAATTTCAAAATTTTTCGGCAATGAGGCATTTTTAGAAAAGTTTTAGCTTAAGTTCTTATGTCCGTATAAAAGCTTATGAAAATTTAAAGTTTTCTTATATTTTTCAATTTTGATATTTTTACCAATTGTGATGGCAGCTCTAGCTGCTTTTTAAATCACTTGAATGACCAAAACTTTAACCAATATGGAGTATACCAAATAAGAATCTTAAAAAATAAACGAAAAATTCACCTTTACCCAACTTTGAGAACCTGCTCCTCGGCACCAACCGGACAAAAAAAGTTGAAGCATGGGAAATCAACTTGAATCGATGTCAGCTTTTAAAAAAGATATCTCCGAGGACTTAGGTTGAAACTTTTCTAAAAAGTGACTCAATGCCGGAATTTTCTTGAAATTTTTCCAGTATATATAAGTTCAATGGTCGTGGTTATGATTTAATAAAATTAGCTCACCCATTCTCCCAATTTTAATTTTTGAATGCACAAGTCTACAGCTGGCTGATAAACACCTCCACCACGAATTACTGGTATGCATTTTCCAAACATAAAGAACGACGAATGCCATACATTTGTAAAGCATATATCATGAGCAGCCATTGACCAACGGATTCTTTTACTACTTCCAACATTTCTCAATTTAAGACAACCAAATATTCCTGAAAGAGCAGATTCATATCCTTTAAATGACATCTTTGAATCTTGTTAACATAAATGCTTAAATTGTCACCTGGGTCATCAAAACAGGAATAATGGTTACTTATTGTTAAAAGCGGTGAATTTTCTGGACGATTTTCAACTAGATCTTCTAATCGATGCTTATTGTGAATTCTCGTCTTATTCAACAGCACTACAATTGAATAAATAAATTATGATTAATCATGACTGATAATAGATCTTATTACATAGAGCAAATATAAAGCAAACAAAGTAAAATTATGGAAGTATATATAGTGTGAAGGACAAACATCATCGGCCTGTTTCACTAAAGTGGATTATCCTCGATTTCGGATTATCCACTTCAGTTTTTTGTAAATATCTTACACTTTATGGGAGGTGTGGTATTTCTTATTTTGGATTATAATAAAGTGAAGTATGCCTGAAATTTCTGTATACTTTAAACTTTTACTTTTCGTTAAGAACTATCAATTATTCAATTTCCTAGTCAAATCTAGTAGATTAACTTCGATTTTTGCTATAATTCTCAAACTAGTGAAGATATAAAAATTCTAAGTTTATGTTAATTTAAGGAGCAAAATACTCTAACTAGATCACACATTAGATCTCTTAATAACCTTAAGCATCTGGAGATATTTCCCAAAAACTGAAGTGGATAATCCGAAATCGAGGATAATCCACTTTAGTGAAACAGGCCGCATGAGATTATGAGATTACTGATTTGGAATGTTAAATTTGACGTCAAAAGGAAGCAAGCAAAATGAATGAATTGGGAATACTACCTTTTCCGTTACCTATCACTATTCTTGATATAATGCCAACCATTCCTATTGTAAGCCTGCTGGCAATGCGAAATAACGCATTTGGATTGGCTAAGGTGATAAAAGAGATCAATAAATTTTATAAAGCAAGTTTTGCACATTTTCTTGATCAAAACTTACCTTGTCTTGGAAAAATCCATTTTATATCATAAGGCATATCCGAAGGATACTATAATGAATTAGAAATAATATTTCACTATTAACAGAACTAGATTAAGGAATTAAATTGAAGAATCATATCATGCTAGTGGCTTAAATCACGTTAATTCAATTACCTCAAACTTTTGCTTCATTCTTCCTTTGTATTTACTGTTTCGCCAGAGTTGTACATTCTTTATGTTTTTTAAAGGATATCTACATATATGCTGCTTATGAATGACTTGAAAAAGTTGTTTTTCCAACTATGGGTTTCGCATCTCTTAACGTTCGTTTTAGCACAAACTTTAAAATAATATTTGTTAAGAAACAAATTGTTTGCTTGTCATGCTATGTTTCGTCAGCAATCTATTTACTTTATTCCATTACTAACATGTAATGCTGTTCTATTGTCTTCTTTTAAAATATTAGATAAAGATTCAGCATTTCAAATGACAAAAGTTCTTTATTTTTGAGTGCGTTTCATTCATAACATCATTGAAGTTGTTTTCCTACTTACTTTTAAAAAATTGCGCTAAATTTCTTGAATTTGTTAAAATCATTTATTTGCTAATTAAAGCCTACAAAGAGTAAAATATATGTTCTATCTAATCAATGTAACATTAAACTATAGAGTCACGTCGAGTATCATACAAAAATCACACATTAAACTAGTTTTTAAAAGAAATACAAAGTTGTGACTTGTTTGAATTTAACAAACTGACAAATTACTTTATTTTACGTTTTTAAGATCCAGAGACAGGTAATAACCTTACAAAAGTGCTATTAATTCATTAAAGACATCTTAATTAACTTATTTAACTATAATTTTCTATGATATTGGCAAGAAATAATCAAATTTTCATTTTCATTTAATATTTTGTCAGTTAAGAATGTCAACTGACTGTGTACATGTAGCAGTTCGTGTCCGTCCTTTTGTGGATTCCGAAAGAAGTCGTGGATGTGTTCAAATATTGAAGAAAGTGTCCAGCGAACCTCAAATCACAATTACTGGTGATTCAAACAGCAAGTCCCAAGACACTTATACTTTTAACAATGTCTTTATGCCGGAAATCTCTCAACATATTGTGTATGATGAGTGTGTCAAACCGATTTTGCCCAAACTCTTTGATGGATACAATGTAACTATTCTAGCTTATGGGTAAGTTCAAAACTTTCGAAGATAAAAATAAAACAAAAAAGAGTAAAATTGCAATTTTAATAGACAAACTGGATCTGGAAAGACGTACACAATGGGAACTGTATTTGATGGTGATTGGGAAAATACTAGAGTTGGAATCATTCCGAGAGCTTTGAGAGATATTTTTAAAACAGTTCGAACAATGGAAGATTCTTCGACTATCTCAATCACTTGTTCATTTATGGAGCTTTATCGGGAAGTACTTTATGATCTACTAACAGATCGTTCAAGAGACCAATCAGTATGTGAAATCCGCGAGGATGGATCTAAAGGAATTATCATTAATGGACTCTGTGAAATTCCAGCAAATGATGAAGATAAGGCGACAAATTGTTTGATGACAGGGGGTAGTAAAAGGACTGTTGGAGCAACCGCAATGAATGATGCTTCCAGTCGCTCTCATGCAATTTTTGTAGTAAATGTTAAGGCTGTACGTTTGGATGGAACTGGTAGTACAACAGCTAAATTTACTCTTGTTGATTTGGCTGGAAGTGAAAGATCAAAGAAGACTAAGGCAACTGGAACTCGATTTAAGGAAGGAGTTAAGATTAATCAAGGCCTATTGGCACTTGGAAATGTAATTTCAGCACTTGGTGGTGGAACTGCAAGTAGTAATGGCTACATTAGTTATCGTGACTCTAAATTGACTAGATTATTGCAAGATTCTCTGGGTGGAAATAGCGTTACTTTAATGGTAGCTTGTGTCAGTCCTGCAGATTACAATATTGAGGAAACACTTAGTACGCTTCGCTATGCTGATCGTGCAAAGAAGATAAAGAATAAGCCTATCAAAAATGAAAATTCTGATCAAGCTGAAATTCAAAAGTTGAAGCAAACTATTCAGGATCTTCGTCTTCAATTGCTTGATAGAAATCCAAATGTCGGTGGTGAAGATAACGAAGTATCTTGCATAAAATTGCAAACTAAAGACAAAGAAATATCTGACTTGAGATCAAAATTAAGTACAATAATTAACACATTAAATGAGTTAAGTGCCTTACATATTCTCGACGAATCCTTTATAAACGATATAGTGACTGAATTTGAGAAACTTTGTGCACTACTATTTACAACTTGTTCTGCTGAATTTGCAATGCCTGATACAAAGATTTTTGATCAATTAAAAGTTCAAGCTAATATCATCGAAGAATTGATTAAGAAATATAAGCAGCAATTAAAAGAAGCATCTGAAGAGAATAAATTAGCCATTCAAATTAACGATGAAGTTGACAGTGAGAAATATATGGAATTTACCAACAATCAAATAGAAATGTACTCAAAGATAAGTGCATTAGAACGAGAAATGAAAATAAAGCAAGAACTTTTAGATCGTAAATTCCAAAACACTCCATTATTAGTTGATAGCGAAGCTGATAAGACAATGATTGAATATTCGTCAAAAATTGAGACATTGGAAAAGGAAATTAATGACTTAAAGACAGCAAATATATCATCAGCCGTTCGTCGTGATCATAATGCAACAAAAGTAAATATGGACAGAAAGCATAAATTGGAAAAAATGGAAAAGGAATTGGCAGAAATTAGAAAGAAGTGTGTAGCACTAGAAAAGACTAAAAAGATGGCAGAACAAGATAAGAAGCGCTGTGAAGATTTGAAGAGGGAAATTCAAGAAATGAAAACAGCACGAGTACAATTGATTAGACAGCAAAGAAATGAATCAGATACATATAAGAGATACATTGCAAATCGTGATAAAGAGATCAATTGCTTGAAAGAGAAAGAAAAGAAAGTCCAAAATGAGATGAAAAGGATGGAACGATTACATGAAAAGCAACAATCTGTTCTAAAACGTAAATTTGAAGAAGCCAAAGCAATTAATAAACGTTTACAAGATGCTGTGGATACAAGTCGCAGAAATCAAAAGTCTCGCATGGAAAAGGCAATTGAGAAGACCGACGTTGTCCAAAATTACATTGATCACGAGTTGATTGTTTTAATATCAACAGTTGATGCTAAAAATGCCATGCAGTCATTGATGAATGATCGTGGCATGCTACTTGAACGTTTGCAGAATTTAAAGTCTACTGTCAATAAAAGTGATGCGATTGAAAAAGAGATTGTTCAACTTGAGGAAGATTTAGAGATGAGAAATGCACAGATTACAGACATGAGAGCAAAATTAATGGAAACTGACATGGATGCAAAGATAAAAAGCATTCCAGAAAATTTCACAACCGTTCCCGAATTGAGAATCGCTATGACTTATATTTTGCGAGCATTGCTAGATTCCAGAGAAGATTTCATAACAAATAAAACAAAAGCTGAGGACTTAAAGGCTGCATATGATGCCAGTGAAGATCGAATCGAGCAATTGCTAGAGGAAAAGAGTGAAATGTTAACGCTTTTTGAGGAAGAAAAAAATCAAATGGAACGAGATTTCGAACAAAAGATCACATATTTGTGTCAGAAGCAAAATGGCAATTTGAATAAGGAAGATGAAGATAAATGTTTTGCTTCTTTAGCTGAGCAATTAACAACAAAGATTGAAGAAAGTGTAACATTAAAATTACGCATCGAAGATCTTGAGAATCAATTGTCAAATGTTGAGAAAAATGCTGAAAAGAAAAAGAATAAAAAGATCAAATTGCCACAGACTCCAGATGGAACCTTTGTAATTGAATCAAATTCTGACGAATCATCGGATGATGAAGAGTTTGATTTTAACGACTCATTTAAAGATCCAGAATGGAAGAAAACCCCAAAACATAAGAGAAGTACTCGTTCAACTACGACTCTATTGAAAGAGAGCTTAGTAAATCGTATGGATGGAACCAACATGTTAATAGATATAAGTAAAACAAGCGATACAAGTCAAGGTGGTACTAAACGTAAATCGGGAGGAAATGTAAAATGTTCTTGTAAAGGAAGCTGTGCTACAAAGTTATGTGGATGCAAAAAGACTGGTTTATTCTGTTCTGATAACTGCAAATGTTCAGATGCTTGTGTCAACACAGAAAATACTTCAAAGGAAAGTGCTGACGAAAACCAGCCAAAATCAAAGAAGCAAAGAGAAAGCGAAGAGCACGAAATTACTCCAGAAAAGAACAGAACAAAGTAATTTAAAACATGAAAGCCAAAAAAATTTTTCACCAATTAATTTTCCCTTTTTTTCTCGTTACAGAGTTGATTTCAATAACATTACAACACCTTATTATCCCTATCAATCCAAGAAGCGTCGACCACTTTTGCCTGTTGAATAAAAAGTTTGTCAACGTTTATGTTTCTAATTGGTGTTGGATCTATTTTTAAAATTTATTAATTATGATAACTTTATTAATTAATTTAGGAATTGTCACATGAATCGTCTCCTTTTTGATAAAGACATTTTGGATAAATATAAATTGTTTAAAGTTTAATATATTACTATTTCTAGTGCTTTTATCCTATTAAGCTTGACATAATAAACTAGTTGATACTAATTGAATAATAATGTGAAAAGTTAAATCTTTCCTGTTTAAATAGTAAGCAGTAAAATACCGAGTTTTGGAATTTTAACTTATTTCTCGGCTTAGTATCCCTAATATCTAGGATGTGTATTTAAAATTTTCTTTCAAGTGTCGTTAAAGCAGAAATCGATTAGTTTGTATCGTTTGTATAGCTGGCAGGAATGAAGAGCGCTATAATGTTTTGATTTAGCGTTGCCATAGAGAATTTTCGTTATAAAAATTTCTCAATCAAAGTAGTGCCCGCGGCAACAAGCTTTATATTGTCTTTATTTATTGTCAATCAACAGCTCCCACATATTTAATAATGAAGTTCTAATTAGTTAAGAGAAATTACAGCGTGTGAAAAGGAGTACAGGAAGTTGCTTTAAAGCAGCGTGCTCTTACTTAAAAGTGCCGTTGAGTTTATAAATAAGAACATGAAGGTCATTGGATTTTTCATTTTTCTAATTTTTTTGGTGGTAAAATCGAAAGGAAAATACGTTGAAGGACATATAAAAACTTTGGAGGTAGAATAGTTTTATATTCATAGCAAAAAAATGATTCTAATTTATGTAAATTGACTATTTAGGATTGGGTATTTGTGTCAAGATTTTGTTTTCTATCAGAAAGTGGACATTATGAGTACTTTATTGAGTACGAGAAGAAATATGGAGACTTACAGTTACTTCTTTACTATGATGAACCCCATCAATGGCATTCAGTTTACAAGACATCAAAGGTATGTCTAATTAGTAAGCACTTTTGTTGTTGATTTTAAATAATATTAATTTCAGTCGTGTCAGGAAAAATCTTCAGTACTCTCAGTTCTCGATAATCAAATCGTAACACTGTCTGCTAGATCACCATACTACATCAAATCTGGATGTACTTTAAGAACATCTCCGCCTAAAAATCAGGCAACAGAGCAATCTACAAGCACTGAAAGTTCACAGTCTACAAAAAAATCTAGTGATGATCTTGACTCGACATACTTTGACAAGTTTTTAAAATCCACAACCGAAATGCCTACTTCAATTGATGACCAGAACAGCTCATTTACTTACTCAACAGAAGAGAACTTTACATTCACGGATGTGGATATTGAGAACTTTAATTTTACAGATTCTGACTACAAAACTCTGATTTATGACCAAAGTTCGCAAGATAATAATCTAGAAAACACGACAGAATATCGTGCAGACGTTGAAGAGATGTTTGAGAATGATAATTTAAATCGGACCAAACGGCAAGCTCTGCCGCGATTTTTTGACCAGAACAAAAAGCAAACTATAATAGTATCATGTCATAATACAGGAACATTCACAAGTGCTCGTCAAAGATGGTGGTATATTGCACTAGCGAATTGTGGAAGTAGCAAAGGAATTGATGTAAAGTTTAAATTTAAAATGACAAACGGTCCGCTTGGAGATTTTTGGCATGAACATTTTTCTGCAGATGAAATGTGTAAGCTCAATTTTTCAAACTGTACCTTGAAATATTTGATGAAATTTTATATTTTTTATTAGATATTCCACCTGTTCTATTAGCCCAAATCTTGCTCTACACTTTCTTATTACTGGCTATATTTTTGTGTGGTTTGGAATTAAAGACAAGGCAACTATATCATTGCACTTATCGATTATTTACACTGAGTGCTATGCTCCAATGGTCTGGAGTATTACTTAATTCAGTGACTTGGGCAAAATATGCAGTTAGCGGAATTGGACCGTTCACAATATTTGGAGGATTTTTCACAGGTGCTAGTGAAATTGCCTTCTTATTGCTACTATTGCTAATGGCTAAAGGATATACGATTACAAGGGCGCGACTATCAACATCATCAACTGTAAAGATTACTGTCTTTATTAATCTTTACATTGTCGTGTACATTTCACTTTACATCTATCAGGCAGAGGTACTTATCCCTTATTCCTTCTGTCTAAATATTGGACGTAAATTATAAATTGAATGAATTTCTTTTCTAGGCATTTGATCCTGGTGAAGTACTTAACTTGTACGAAAGTTCTGCTGGTTATTTCATTGCTGGCTTACGATGCTTTTCATGGGCATTCTTTTTGATTGCGTGTACGACAACCATAAAGAAGTTCCCAGAAAAGAGGAAATTTTACTTTCCATTCAGTATTTTGGGATCATTTTGGATATTAGCTGGTCCACTTTTAATTTTTATGATTGTTGGCCTACTTGATCCTTGGGTTCGTGAAAGTGTGGTGTTTGCTGCATTTGCTATAATCGCATTTACTGGACACGTAACATTTTTATGGTTAACTTGGCCATCTAGAGCTAATGGCTTCTTTCCTTATCATGTAAAAACAAATCATATTGGAGTCGCAAGCAATGACGATGATGGTGCAGATTATCCACGGCATACATATGAACCGGCAACAATTCCTGATGCTACAATTATAATTCCACTTTCACGAAGAACTGAAGAATTTGTACACAGTACAGCCGGAATTTATAATGCCGGCTTTGTTCGTGACGAATACACTTTTCGTACAAATGCTCCGCTCTCAATACCACAACAATGTATGCCTTCACAAAACATCCATCATCGATTGCCATCGCCTACACATGAGCCACCTCCATTAATGAGCTTAACAAATGAGAGATTGTGTGGAAAAGATATATTGCACAATTATGACGATGATGAAGTAGAGGAGGATAATGATTCATTGGAAACAGAAAGTGGAATTGTGAAAAATTCTGCCGAGACATCAAATAATCGTATGTCTAGCTTTGAAAGTGAAGAAAGTGTCATGCAGCCTGGTAGACGAAATATTAGTCAAGATAATGATTCTGGTCATTTATCACTAGAAGCCTCAACTAGCCCGAATTCTAATGAACATTCAACTCCTCTAAATGATTCACTTGAAAGCAACAAACCAAATTCACCAGACACGCTACCACAAATTTTAAAAGATAATCCATTCAAGGCGAAAGCACCAAACAAAATAATTTTAGATCCAATCAAATTACCTACAAAATTGCCATCAATGAGTGAGAACCAAGAGGTTCCTAGGCACCTGTTCACAGTCAAGAAAACTGAGCAGCATTAAAACAATACATTTAGTTTAGATTGTAGATTGCACTGGAAATAATTAATTTAATGATGTTTTATATAATGACATGTGAAAATTTATCGGAAATAAAATCACAATTCACACACAAATATGGAAGTTGCTCTTCTCTATTTAAAAAAAATTAAAATTTACTTTATTTGCATCCATTTCAACATCTTTACAGCTTATAACATTTTTTTACAATCTATAAATCTATTCGAAATATTAAAGACTTTAACATATCCATGTTGTGTGTTTTTAATATTGATATAAACTTTTTGTCAGTAAGTCAACAATTATCTTAATACTTTATTCGCCTTCCATTTATTTTGGAGGTGATTTATTTCAATGTGAAAATGTCAATTATTAAATATTTATAACATCACAATTTTACAATTCTTTCACTTCTCATTTTGCATACCTTTGCATACATAAATAGTTTTTTTTGTATTGTAGTTCTGTGCTTTCTTGAAAGCAAGATGAAGAGAAGAGAGTAGGTAGGAGAAAGCATGAGATGTTTTAATGTCGATCATAACTTTTAGCTTTTTACTAGGACTTTATGATGTTATTAAAACTCTCAAGATTCAATCACGAGTTTATCTTGGTTGAACGACTGAAAAAGAGAGCAACATTTTAGAGATCATAAATCAGGTCCATAAACATTTAATTATTGTAAACTTACAATCAGCACGTTCAGCCTCTTGAATTTCTGGCCTGATTGGAAGTTGAATTGGATTCAAACTGCGTCCGAAATTTGAACGTCCTAATGCCAAAATTTGTGGGGCATCTTCATTTTTTTCTACTTGTGCTGGTTCCTGTTTTTTTTCTTCTGATGATTTTTCCTCTTGTGTAATTTCTGGCTTAATAACTTCTTCCCCTTCGTCTGATTGATTTGAGTCTGTATCGCCTGAGGAATCTTCGTCATCAGCTGCTACTAATTCACGAATATGTTGCTGAAACTTTTCTTCAGCCATGCGTTGGATATTTCTCAAGTCATCAGGTGTGATTCCGACTTTTGAAAGCGCTACGGCTAAAGGAACTTGTTGAACTTGAACATTTGGACGTGCTTCCATATCTTTCTCATTGTTCATGTTGTTCATGTTGTTCATGTTGTTAAGATTGTTTAAGAATGGGAAAATGTCACTGATTGATCCTGGAACTTGAATACGACGTAATTGAATACGGACTTCTGGTTGTGGAATCATCTCATTTTCTTGTGGTTGTGGACGCTCAAAATTAGGTCTATCGAAGTTGGGTCTGTCGAAATTTGGTCTTTCAAAATTTGGAAGTTGATTTTGTTGAGGTTGTTGAGCTGGATTAATGAGACGGAATTGAGGGATTTCTGGACGTGGTGGGCTCATCATTTGGGCTGGAATTGGTGGGAATTCCTCTTGTTGTTGATGATGAGGCATTGGCATATTTTGTGGTGGATGGAATGGCATTTGTGGTTGTTGGAAAGGAATTCTCATTTGAGGTGGGAAATTGATCTGGTTCTGTGGTGGAAAATTAATTTGGTTCTGATGTGGGAAATTAAGTTGATTTTGTGGTGGGAAGTTAAGTTGATTTTGAGGCTGGAATTGTGGCATTGGGAATGGGGGTTGATTTTGTGGTGGCATTTGTGGACCAAATCTATGCATTGGACCTGGACCTCCGAGTGGGAAAGGCATGATTATTCTACGAACATGAACAACTGGTTCTTGTTCCCTATTTAATAAATTGAAACATTATGAATCATCAAATCAAGTCATAAAAAAATCAAAAACTTACTTTGGTGCACCAGTTTCGCAGAAGATTGAAACACGTTCTCCTGTAACTTTTTCTTTTGGTTCTTCTTCACCTAAGAATGCACTGAAAGGGTTCATTGCCTTTTCATTCATTTCTTCAGTACGACGACGCTCAACAACACAATTCATGCGTGACCTAAAGAACAATAATCAGTTAATTATTGAAAAGAACAAAACGAGGGAAATAAATAAGAATAAGCAAACAGTTGCTGATGAAATTCTTACTTTTGATTGTTGATTAAAAGGTTGTGTGCCAATTCAGTAAGATCAAAGTCTAATGGAAGTTTAACACGAATTTTTTTCAAGCTATCATCGTCATTAGAATCAATTTCATTTTCTGTGTTGATTGCCTCGACATCATCAGGATTAGTGTCATCTTTCTTATTTGGCTTGTTCATTTCATCTTTACTCAAGTCTTGTACAACATTATTAGTAGCTTCACGAGTTTGAAGTGCTTCAGGTCGAGGAAGATCCTATTTACAATAGAAAAGTAAATACCATTAAAAATAGTGTTGAAAGAAATGATTCATTTGTAAAAAGCAGTTTTAATAAAAAATTATTTCTTTAGCACCTTTTTTGTGCTCTTCCTTTCTCTATGTGTGTTCATTTCTTTAAACTTTACTTTCACTTTTAATTCATATAAACCCAATTTGCGTGGCGTGACCACCATATTTTTTTTCCTGTTTTGCTCTCTTCTTTCTTCTTATAGTCTTTTTTTCCAACAATTCATATTTCACATTTTGAATGCCATTTCATGTAACTCTTTAATATTCATCATACAAATCGCTGTACTTGCTGTTGAGGGATTTTTTTTTGTTTTAAGAAATTAAAACTTTGCTTGCTGTTTATGCTTTTACATACTCTAGTCGTACATTAACAGCCATTCATTTATGTATGACGTCCAAAAGTTACAAAGATTTACACTAAATCAAAATGGGAAATATCTGTCGTGGAGATACCATTTATGATTAACCCTTAAAAAACCTTTTACATACATTAAATGTTGATGCAACTCAGCTGCATGAACTTTACTTAGTTGTAATTTAAATTATGCAAAAAAAATAAGCTTCAACTCATCTGTTATGTAGTTATTTTTACATATAGCTATATGTCTACAATTTTAGCACGTCAATAACACAAATAACATCTCATTGTGTGAAAATGAGATTAAAGTCTATTGTTTTGTACCTTTTGTTTAGTGCATAATGCTTTCAATTCAAGTGTTTTGTTAATAAATGAAATATATTGAAAGGGAAATTTGCAGAAGGTGTGCAAAAAATTAACTCAAAAATTTTGAAATGTTAAATTTGATTTAATTTTAATCCCAAGCCATTTCTCATTCTCCTCAAGTTGTTAAAATCATTAGTTAAACAGTCACATAAAGCATAACAAATCTCCTATTTAGTTTTTAATAAGTAAACAGAAGAAAAGTACTTGAAATATAATAAATCACATAAACTTTAAAACTTATTAAGTACATCCACAAAAGAATTTGCCATTTTGGTAGATAAAACAAATAGAAGGAAAACGGAAATGAGCTTCATTTTGCTTTAACTTATTTTCCATTAAATCATCAAATTTATGCTTCATTCAATCAAAAAATTATACATTGGATACGAACAGCTCATGCCGACACAGCATAAATAACATTATTGCTTACATTAGCCATTATTTTTTTGCAGAGATCATTAAAGAGATGATTGAATTTAATGCATAAATTGCACAATTGTTTAGAGCACGTAACATTTCATCTCCAGCAATTCGATTTATGTACTTGGATTTTAAGGCATTATTGATTCATTGTGCAAGAATGGCAAGTGAACAGTTACTAAATTCTAAGCGTGCTTCCATTTGTCTTATATAAAATTATAAAATTTTCAGGTGTTTGGTGCCAACTGTAACTATAGTGCGATTCATTCTAATTTATTTGTTCACAAAGTGTTAAGGAAATCATTGCTATTATTTTTTTTTACAACTTCCATTCATTATCAACATGTCATCATTATGCTCTGTGAATGCAAACGTTATGACAAAATAAAAGAGAATAAGAAATGTTAACAACTGCCATGCCATATATTACACAACCGATTTTGTAAAAGAAATAAAAGGCAGACAAGCCTAATGTTTGCACTCCGTTTAAAGTTACGCACAAGTATGTTTTGCTTTTTTTTCATTCATCAGTTCAGAGTAGAGTGTAAAACTATGGATGGAATGACCACTAATTCGCATAGATTATGAAACTTCTTATAAAATACCAAAAAGAGCATAGAAATGTTGATACAACCGTATCATTATTTCCAGAAGCAATTCGAGCGTTCAACTTAAAAATAGCTATTGAGACTTTGGTCACGCATGAGTGCTAAAATTGTTACCGATTTTTAGCACGTTTCTGATTCAAACTTTATGTGTTCCGAAATAATTTTTGATTGCTATTGATTAATTACGAGAAAGTATATTTTGATAGATTATGACTAGTTACGACTATTAGAATTACGACAACTGTTTTTTTTCATGAAATTTTTTAACGTTTAGTTTTGAAACTTGCTTTGTTGCACAACAGTTGCCATCGTGTACAGCACGACATTTCTTTTCCGATGGATTTAGAAATTATTGATAAAAGAGGTTTTGCTTAGAGAGAGGAAGGGTCTAAATCAGTAGTTCTCAAACTGTGTGCCTCGGAATAATTTAAAATCTAAGATTGACGCTATGTTTTCATGTTTTGTGACTTAAAAAAGTATTGAAATCATTTATTGTGCCGCGAAATAATTTCATTAAAAAATTGTGCTGTTTACCAAACAAATTTAAGAAACACTGTTTTGCTTAGGATGGGGGGATGGGGGTTCTTTAAATACCGTGTTAAAAAAGACGTAATTTGTGACCAATGAATTCAATTGCAGCATTTTCTCCAACAATAGACATTTCTATTTCTTATTTACGCTACACTGCACGATCGTCACTGATAAGAAAATGAAATTACAATAATAAATAGTTTCTCACACATTTAGATCTATATCCAGATAGCAAGTAAATGTGATAAACTTAATCTATATGTTAATTTAAATAAAAACAGCGCAGAAAGCTTTCAGTGTGTATAAATTTATGCTTCTCTCTCTACATGTTTCAATTCAAAACACAAAGAACTGGTCTAATTATCTTCTACTGCTAACTTGGAGTATTGTTTGAAGTCATTGTGTCGTAAAACTTTCTACCATACATAGAAGCAACAACAACTAGTGCTGGTGATTAATATATTTTTTTTTTTTTTTTTTTCTTCTATAAGCTCTTAGTCATTTCTGCTGTGTTTTGTTTCTTTTCGTAAATAAAAAACAGTTTTTCAGACACCGCAATGCAATTGCTCAAAGAGAAAAGAAATTGTTCTTTCACTAAGCATTATTCAAGAATCGTACGAAACCTTGAAATATCGCCAACAGTTATTTTACTGAATTTACTGCTCGCAAGACTATAGAATTTTAATTTGAACTTGATTGAGCTCATTTATCATCTGGATTCTTCCAGAATAAAGAAAAGCAAGCAGTAATAACCCAATTTACTAAAGATAATTTACATAAAACGGGGACGAGCATGATGTTTTGCTTATTAATTATCAACATTGAGTCATAGCTTAATTGAATTTGAATTGTATTGCGAATTTAATAAAATATTAATTGGAAAATCCCCAGAGACTCTCTAATTTGTAAAAAATGAATACATTCTTTAATTAAATATTAATGAAAATAAGCTCTGTCCAATTAAAATGATGAATATATTGAAGCGATTTCAGTTCCAATAAATGCAAATTAAAATTCCGCGCTAAAATTCAATAACTCGACTTTATTATATTAGCAAATAAAGACTGAAATAAGAAGAGCATATTGGAAATCTCAAACACATATTAAATTTAGAGATCACAGCTTAAAAAATCGTGAATTTTCAATAAAATTTGTGTTGGACACAAAAGTTCTTTTTTGTTCGAAACTATTGACAAATTAAGATCAATGAAGTCAAGGTTGTGACTAATTATTGTAAAGTCAGCTTTTGTCACATTTGACTTTATTCTTATTTTAAAAGGTACATACCTGCTGCATTGCTTCGAGCATTAATTCCTTATCCAAAACGGCATCTAATACAGATACTTGATCACAGGTTGCTTTAGCTTGCAAATATGTAGAGGCAAGCAAAAATGAGCCCAAAATTATGGATGATAAAATAATTGTAAATGAAATAATTTTGGCGATTCTGACTGAGCTCGTTGATTGAAGTTTGTATGCCTGAAAAAAGAGATCATGAAATTTCATTAAAGCTGTTTTTTTTTTCAAACGTTAAGCAGAAAAATATGCAAGTATTTTCAAATCAACAAGGCTCATTGAGTAGTAGTAAATATCAGATAATATCTTAAATCTGCTGTGTGACAATTATGGTTTAGATTTAAAGATCAACAAGACTGGAGATTTTTTAAAGAAGTCATTTCATAAATGATGTTCAAAGCAGTGTAGCCAAAAGTATAAAAAGAGTGATGGTGCGAGTTTATACCCAACAAACCAAATGGTGCTAAAACAACATTGACCTCACGCCATCTTAAATGAATAGCTTCTAAGTCTTTCCATTGAAAAAAAATTGTAAAAAGAAGCACAAAATGTGCATAAAACTACAGCAATCATAAAAATGCATTGATCTAAACTTTATCTCATTAAATTATTTCTCATCTCCTCGAGTCATATAATTAACATAAAAAATATGCATCAATCTGACTTCCAATTGCTTTAAAGCTTCATAGCTTGTGAAAAGTTTTGAAATTAAATGAATGGACATTTCTTTCATGATCAGTTCTTTGTCGCATTAATGATGATTTATAAAAACGAAAAAAGTCAACTGCATTTAATGCGAAAATAATATCGAGAACATAGTATAAGTTCAAAATAAATCATGTAAGTAAATGGTTATTTACGTAATTACATCTTATTATAATCATCAATGATTGCACACAAAATTACATTGATATCGTGAAATGTGAGGTGCAATTAAAGCTTAATTACAAGATTATTTCAGATATAAAAAAAAATGGCAAAATGAGTCTTATCTAATCATTTGTTTTCCGTTCATCATGAAAATTAATCAGTCAATTTGAATATAATGCCTTCGGCCATTTTCAATTCACTCTAAACTGGCTAATTTCTGGGAATTTCTATACATATGATTTATGGATGATACATGTCTGTATTCAATTGTTTGTCTGCTAATTTGAATCTTTCGTGAAAATCATTTAAAGGTTAAAACGTCAACACACAACTGTAAATACGGATCAATGTGACTATTTGTGACTTTAAAGTTTATTAGCTAACGACAATACAAATATCTCGATGACATGATAAGTGTTTATAACAACAGTAGATTGAAAAGTAATCCACATTGATATTTATTACCATTACTGTATAGATAAATACTGAAGGAGCAGCCATTAATCGAGTTCATGTACAATAAACATTTCAGAAAAATTAAACTTTTCCGCATATTTCTCACAGCTATTTTCTGTGCCTTACATGACGACACTTGATGAATTCAATTAATTTATTATTTGATCTTTTCCTACTCATTATCTAACATTAAAGTATGCATGTATCGAATAATTTCTGCGTTCATAGAATAGTCATTTCAAAATATGCATAAAATAATTCAATAAATTCATTAGCATGTCTATAAATTAATAAATTGAGTCATTAGATAGATGCGGTGAAAATAAAATTATTTTGCATTTTATGACAGCAATTCTGAACTTTAATGTTATGCAAAGTATTTTCTAATGAGTTGATGGAATGAATATCAAATATGGAATTATCGTAGGTGTGCTAAAAGTTCTTAAACTTTCCAGGAACTAGCTGGCGCAAAAAATCTACACAAAAAAGTTGTTAATTATATTAGCAAACGTTTTCAGCTATAATCCGCAGAAATCTAAGACTAAAGATCTTCAAAATATTACATGACTGACAGAATGAATTATCCAACTTATTATCTTGTCGTCAGTGCTGCATAAACTTACATGTAATGCTCCAAATGATTTTAATTACTTAGCGTCAAGTGACGATTGTTGCATTTATTTGATTCTCTTTTAAATCCGGATTAATGAACGTTCTGCTTTTTTAAGTTTAAAAAATACGGATTTCTATTAGAAAATAAATGAAACAGAATTTCCCACGCAAAGCTACTTATTTCCAATCAAACTTAATTCATCATTCGACTTAGGAAAAGTTTGAAGTGTAGAACCTGAATATTCCTATAATCTGTTAAATGAAAACAAATAAATAAATGCGCAATTCATTCACGAAAATGTCATCATTTAATAAATCTTCCTGCATTTTGCAGCTGTGCTTACAGGTAATTATTTTGTGAATCTTTCAACAGTGATTTCCTGTTAGAAACAGAATAAAGCTTTTATTAAAAATTATAGCGTTTTAAAGCAACATAAAAGGTACTGAATTAGAACACTAATTGCAAATGATGGCACACGTGTTGGAACTAATGTTTGTAAGTCAACAAAAATTAATGCATTAGTGATTTCCTTAAAAAATAAGGAGAGTTTTCTTTTGTTGACATAGAAGTTTGGTCATTACCTCTTAATAACTTCATTCTGAATAACTTTTAACTGACCTTGTCATTCATATTCATAACAAACATTTGAAGGGGAATTTTCTCAATGTTTAGTTCTTTTAAGACACAAAACAAACTGTATACGGTAAAGTTTACATTCTTTTCAACATGTTACTTATGCAAAGTTATTTTTATTGTCACTTATTATTATTATTATTCAAATATTATTTTCAAGAGTACGTCAAGTGTCTACCTTTTATGTCTGTTTTCTATTCGTTTAGCGATTTCTTCTTTAAAATATGAAATCTTTTCATTTTGCGCTCATTATGATGACTTTTCTCTTTGTGTTTTACGTGAAACTTTTTCAAATAAGATAATTCTCTCATGTGATGAATACGTCAATTGGAGGTAGGTAAATAAATATTCATAAACATCATCAACAGAACACAAGATGAAATTGAGGAAATTCCCAAAAAACCGGTTCTTCGGTGCTTTCATTTTAGTTCATCTTTCTAAAGGGTAATCCCCATATTGTTTTCAAAATATTAGAGAATAATCATATAGATACTGATAGAATTTTACTGAGTATGGGAGATACTCAAACCTCCTTATAAAAATATTCCTGGCTTCGCTCCTGTCTAGAGATCATCATTAAATGCTGACATCAGGTAGGGGAGATAATCAAACCACTTAAGACCTTTAAGCAATATCAAATCTTCCAGAAGAGTCTATAGAATTAGCATTTAAAATTTATATTAGTAATTCCAAGAAAATCATCAAGTTTATAACTTGTTATTTCCGTCACACTTCCTTTGAATTTTAGACCAAAACAAGATCATTAAGTTCGGACGTCATAAGTTGAGATACGATCTTGCTAAATACTGTCTATTTATGGATGGAACTTTGGACATAGTCATTATGTCAAAAAATTTCAACTAAGGCCAATTAGAGCTTTGATGTTTTCGAAAATATGGGAATGTTTACATTTCCAAAGTTTACACATCGTGCTGAATGAATTAAGTAACATTTTCTTTACGTTCTTTGAGTATGAAAAGTTACAAAATTTTCAGTTTTAATCAAAGTCAGCAAAAATCGTGATGATTTTAACGCTTTAATAGCGACATACAGTACAAGTTTTGACGTGACTACGGAGTTTTTTGCGACTTATGTTTAGTAAACAGAATTTATTATTATTGTCGAGTGCAATAAACATAAATGCTGTAAAAGAAACTTTATTGTGATGGACTTCAACATAGTCTTAATTTATTCATGTTGATTGAAATATTGGTGAGACCTGTTTTAGTAGAATTTGAGATGAAGATAATAATCAAAATTTTTTGTCAAGGAAGTTAATTCAAATTTTCACCAGCTTGACTTTTGGTTTTAACTGATAGCTTTCTTGAGGTTTTCCAGAATTCCAAATTATTCATTCATTTGTATTATGCAATATTTTGAGGAGGAGGGTCCAAAAATGTGTCATTTTAAAAATTTAAATCCTAGAATCAGCTGATTATTCATAGATGCTTTTTGCTGATGAATAAGAATGGCAGCATTTTAATTGAAAAACCAACCATATGGTTCAAAATTTGAAGGAAGTTCATGTATGGTATTAAATAAAAAGTCGACTTGTTGAAACAAAATGAAGATCAAACAAAAGTAAAACTTGAAAACTCCTTAAAAAGTTGTTGATCTTCTATTGAAAACAGTTTTCATCCATTTCAACTTAAACCTTATGAGATTTAATTTATAATTTTGCTAAAATAAAGTGCCACAATGTTAATACGTCCGAATCCAAAAATTCGCCACATTTAAAAGTTTTATTGATGTACATAATTATTTTACATTTAAAAACTTGTGGGAAGCAATTTAAATAAAGAAACTTTTTATATTTTTTGAAAGTCTCTGTCTCTTTTTTTGTGGAAAGAAGTGAAAAAGAAAGGCACTTGAAGTACATTGCCTCTGCAGTTTAATGATTCGTTTGATCACAAAAGAAATTGAAGGAGAAGAAATTCATTGCAAGTGAAGTTATTGAATAGAAATACAATTATTTTTAGTTACACATGGAAGCAGCAATACCAACAAGAAGAAGTAAATATGATCGTTATTGTAATTATTATTTCTGTCGCAAATTATAACGATATAATAGCAATAACAAGAATAATAGCTTTAATAATGAATGATAGCGAGTTAAAATTAACTTTTGGATGTTAGGTCATCGCAATGATTTTCCAAAATGGAACATCTAAGCTTTAAATTAATTCATAATTTTTAAAATACAATATCTTATGAATATAGCTTTTATAATTGCGAGTCTTCTTCATAATCATTGTCGTTTGTTGTCATTGGATGAACACACCAGCGGTCATGTGATGAGGCACTTTTTTCAGTTCACAAATTATTTAAAAACTCACTTCCGTTTGACTCGAAATTCCTCATTTCGCATACAATAAAGCATTTTTGTTTTGTTGATCAATATTTTGACTTTATTAAGATTTTCGCAAATGATCAAATCTAAATACACAATTTATGAACTGCTCAACCTAAGTCATTATTCTTAAAATAAAATCTTCGTGTTTAAGACATAATATTTTAATGAGTAATTAAGCCTCGGCATTTTTACCAACAAAAATTTACATAACTTATTTATTGCTACATTTTCTGCAGAAAAATGGAAATTATGAGAAATAGAAATTTAATGAAATTTTGTGGTCAGTTTTAACCGCATAAAATTGATAAACACTAAATTGAAAGCGTTTCCGTGTAAAATGACTTTTCAATTGTTTCTTAAAGTTCACAAACATTTCTTGCTTCATGCTTCTTCTATTCATCATTGCATCTCTTGCAATGGCATTCACAAGTCGGTTTTTAAATGAAGATCTGTCAGTTGTACGCTCATTTTTGCGTATACGAATCATGCAAACAATGGGAAGTCATTGTTTTACATTAATATATTAATGCAGGAAGATTAGATAACTTTGAACGTCAACGTTGATATTCTGAAAAATGTGCCTTTTTCGAAATAATGTTGTCGACTTATTTAATTGGATTTTCATATTAAATATCAAAGTCTCTTCGTTGCTTGTTCATTTACTTATTTTTTGCGTGGATGTCGAGAGAGAAAGACTCAAGCTTAACAAGAAGACAATGGAAAATTGTTTCATTCGTGGATAGAAAGAAAGAGTCATGCAATTGTATGCATTATCGCACTATGAATGCATTGTTAAAGATTCTCTTATTACCATTACATTATTGCTGTTTGTTTTGTGTGCATCCACATGGATATTGCTAGAAATTATCATACAAACACATTTTAATGCGATAAAAATTATTTTTGGGTAATTTCTCTTCATAAAAATTATCATTATAAGCTCTATATTTAGCTACTATGGAGAAGTCATGTGATGTACAATAGCCACCATGATGTATTTTTAAGTGCTCATGCGGTGGACAAACAATTGATGGTAATTTCATAGACAACGTAGACAAAGAAACAAAGATTTTGAAAGTAAAAGTAATTTTCTGTAAAGTTCATGTTGAATGATGATGGAAGTAAATATTAGAAAAATAATGCATGCAACTGATGAGCCAAGCAAAACATGAAATGTAAGAAATAAGTATTGCAAAATAATGAAATGTGTTGCAACAAATTTTCTTTTGTAAATAAAAGCGAAAGTTCTTTCTTTCTCACTCATTGACTTTACCGACTCATATTCAAGTTATATGCAGTTATATGCTTCTCGAGATTGGCAATAGTGTCTTATTCTTTTGAGACTTGAGAACTTTGTAGACGATTGTTTTCATTCGAGGTCAGAGAACTTAAATAATTATTAGATACCATAATCCAGCCTAGCTTAAAACAACCTGACATTTATTAAGATTTCATCAGCTAAATCTTTAAATACAGATTAAATGAAAACAATAATTTAATTAAAGATAATTTTCTATGGATTCCTGTATGAAAAGACAGATCTTAACTGGTTTTAACTCTAGATCTGTGTAAATGCAACCTAACCTCCTTATCGAATGATTTATTTTTCGTAATGAAGTGACGCAAATCATTAATCAATGATAAGCATCTCATGTTTCCAAAAACAAAACAACATAAAAGACAATTAAAGTTGTAAGAAAGAAAAAGCTCAGCGTCTCGACTACTGTTTTCGTCGTCTGTTTGTTGATGACTAAATGAGATTAAAAATGAAGAAACAATATCCGCAAAACGATAGCGGTCACTGACGGTGAAAACATTTATTTTTTTTTAAACCTCTGCTTATCTTTTCTCCTATTCATTGAGAGGATATTACACATGCATTTATTAGTAGTCCAATGTTAATCAGGCAGGCAGTAACAGATTCGGTGATTTTTTCTATTTTCGCTTACTGTCGATGAGTGACACCAATTTTTTTTTAAAGGTAGTTGAATGCTATTTTTAGCTAAATGAGTTTCTTGAAAATTCAAGTGACTTGTCAAAAAAGAGACATCGTTTCGCTGAAACCATTAACGAATCTTTCAGCAGAATAAAAAAAAATCACAAAAAAATGAGAGCTCGATTGCCTTGAGCTGGCGAAATGGGAGGGATTAGCTTTTAGTTCGAAAAGGGTGTGAGACATGCAGCAACTGTTTGTTATTGTACAGAAATTTTTGTTCATCTAATGACGGCATTTATCCTATGCCTCATCATGATCATAAGCATAATTTAACAACAAAATAATTCAATTGCATTTTCACACATTTTTTGTACATGCTTTAAATGGCATAGGGACTATTCAAAAATTGCGTATAGGATTTTTGAAGGAGATTGATTCTTGAAATGTATGGCACATTGTTGAATAAAAATTTTGTAACAATAGATAATAGTTTATAGTGGACGTCATTTTTGAACTATCCTATGGGTTACTCAAGAGCTTATTTTGAAACTTGCTTATTTCATATTTTTTACCACAAAAATAAATACAAAATAGAAACTCACCGGAGGTGCTTCTGTTGAATATTCCGATGCAGCATATTCAGGCTTTGCTACAATAGAATCAGTATCCATTTTTTCCTTGGTCTCCATTTTGCCTCTCAGTTATTGCAGCTCTCTTTATGAATGTAGATTAATTTAATCCAAAACGGGACAACTTTTTATAATTTTCTATTATTTTCACTGCCTTTTCCTCTGGCTGTATATCTTTATCTGTTTATCACTTTTCACTTCAATGTGTTATCAATTTCTTCTTTCTTTCCTTTCTTTCTATTTTTATTTCCAATATAAGAGAATAAAGAGATAATAATATATTAACTTTCTGCAAATTAAACACAATTCTATTTTAACATGACTTTTTTCAGCATAATAATAATAATAATAACAGCACTTTGATTACGCAGGTTTCTAATGCACAATATATATTTTTTTAATATAGATTATGATTATGCTTCTTTATGCTTGTGTCATTTTTGCCACATTCTATTACTTGAATAATGGAATGAAAAGTACGAAAAATGAAAAGTTTCTCCAGCCACTTGAATCTATGCACAATTCTTAGTAAAATAAAATTAAAACAGGCAGGCAGTAATAAAAATGCAAATGTTAAGCGGAGAAGAAAATCGAGCAAAAATGACACGAAAATAAAGGAATGAAAAAAGAAACAAAAATACACTCACTATATATGCATTCACTGCAGCACAGCGACAGAAAACTCAGAAATGAAACCTTGTGCCATTCAAGCACCGCGTTTTATATAGACAAGTACATTCAACGTATAGTGGGGAGAGTTGGGGAAATGTGTATGTTTTGTTTTCTTCAATTCTGTTTTAGTGTTAAGCTTCTCCAGTGTTGCCGCTGTCCACATCTTCTCATATACAAATGCTTGTATTTAAACACGCATCATGCAACTCTGATCACCACATTGATGTTAGACAATTGAATGATGTGAACTTCACACCACCAATACAGAGATAGTATTAGCAAACTTTTGAATCTAGTTATTAAATGGAAATGTCATTAGGTTCGCGCTTTTACCGACTGTTCATCCAGTTATCACTTAACAATACCTCGTTCTTGATTATGGGTTCATAAATGACATTAAAAAATTCATTGATAGAACTTAGCATCTTTGTGTCAATTGACTCAATAAACTACAAAGTTTTATATTTAAAATAAAATATGCGCACTTAACCTCCGTATTCGGAGACTTTATTAACGATTTTATTCTCAATGCATTCACATATAAAAGCTTCTATACGTAGCATGGGGAAGGAAAGATTGTTATGAGTGAACAGAAAGAGAGACTTGAAAAAAGCTTAATAAGAAAGACAAATACACAAGATGCAAAATAACAAAACAAATTTACGAGTGTGAAAAATATTTCAAATTGAGAATATTCTACCTGTCAGCGTTTATCTATTCCATTTTTGTTGATATTTATTTTCTTATATAAATTACCTTAAACTCCGCCATTTTTGATGATGATACTTTTTGCGTGATAATGGCACGATTACAATGCAAACAATTTTTCACAATAATTAATTGTTTTATGAAAAGTTTCTATAGTACTTTTCCAGTATGTGACTGCACATTTTAGTTAAAATATTTAAAAATCATGACTTTTTTTCTAGTTGCTGATTTTTATAAAATTTGCTTGTGTATAATTTTGATGAGTTAGAAAAAAAAATTGTCCACATTTTGTGAAATTATCGTTAATTATTATGGACATGATAAATATGATGAAGGTTGTTTTTGTATTGCCCAAAAATGTATCAGGTTTATGGGTATTTTGAAGCGTAATATTTATGAGCTGTTGAAAATTATCATGCGAATCTTTCAGCAAATCAATATAAAACCATTGAATATTACTTCCGATCATAGCCGTAAAGTAAAATGTTCAATTAAGTTATTAACATTTTCTTACCAAATACATAGATGAGCCAAAATAGATGGTTCATTGAACTTTTTGCATGTAACTACGTTATTTCGCTATGACAAGCTGAAAAGACCCACTCATTTGCCTTTCTCCTATTGACGACATCAAAAAAAATCCTCATTTCTTTTCTTTTCTAAAATCATAAGCCCCCAGAAACGAAAACATATGCCTACAAATGTCAAAAGCTTTTATCTGCTTTAAGTCCTCATTTAATGTGTACTCACCGGTATCTTACTTTGAAGTAACTCTAACCTGCACTTCAAGTATTTTAAAAGAACAATTTTAGATTTCGTTAACTTATCTTTTCAAATTATTGGTTATTTAAACTCAATATAGCATGTTATCCTTACTTTTTTTTATGCACCATTATACAAATATAGGGTTACCATCTAATTTTCATGAAAATACAGGACTTTTGGTAAATTTTTTCGAAAAATACAGGACAAAGAGTAAAATTCGAAAATTAACGGAAATTTTCCTGAAAAAAATACAGGACCTGGAACAAAGTTTTCAAATTTATACAGGACAGGGTTTTGAAATACAGGACTGTCCGTTGTAAAACTACGCAGATGGTCACCCTATACAAATACCATTTTTAACTTCGGTTCGCATAACACTTCCAGAAAGGTCCAGCAATGTAATTAACTGAAGGCAGTACGATTTTAATCGTCGAATCGTCCACAAACTCATGTATATTTATTCATGCTTCCTCGATTTGCAAAAATCCTACAAAAACCCAAATCAACTAGTGTATCGGGTAGAAACCCAATGCGGATATATTCACACCGTACCATCAAAAGTCTTATGGATAGACCAAGATTTGCTCAGCATAAGTTTGAAGGGTGGGCGTGAAGGACGGCCGAGACCCATATCGACACAGTTTAAAAGTTAAACCTAATTTATGTCATAATTATGTCAGCTCCAAAAACACTTAGTTTGAATTTCGTCACACTTCGGAACACTATGAACCAGAATAGTTCACACTTATTTGAACCACATTTTCTCATTAATGTTAAAATATTATTAAAAGTAATTAATCCTGAATTATGTCGCTATTTTGTCAAGTGTTTTAAGATAAAGAATTTGTTTTTTGGTTTCTACAGTGAAGAGTTTGAACAAAAATCAGATGGGGTAGTCGAAATTTTAGATTTCGTTTTTTTTTTAAGCTTTGCATTACAAAAAGTAATATTGGTAAGTGATTTATGTCAGAAATATGTCAATTCAAAAAAAACAAACAAAAAATTTTTTTGACCAAAGTACACCATAGAAAATCAATTTTCAATTTTGGACTAGGGGCGACCCTTGTCAAAATCAATTTTCTCACTTTTTTCTTCGAGGGTTTATCCAAATGGATTAAAACTTTGCATAAATATTCTGGTGCTTAAAACAAATACAAATAAAACATCTTAAAATTTTTTTGAGCAAAGAACCAAGGAGAAATACATTTTCAATTTTGGACTAGGGGCGACCCTAGCCAAAATCAATTTTGTCACTTTTTTCTTCGAGGGTTTATCCAAATGGATTGAAACTTTGCATAAATATTCTAGTGCTTTAAACAAATACAAATAAAACATCCTAAAGTTTTTTGAGCAAAAAACCAAGTAGGAAATATATTTTCAATTATGAACTTGGGACAGGTCTAGTCAAAATCTAGTTTTTCACTTTTTTTCTTCGAAGGTTTACCCAATTACAGTGAAACTTTGTGTGAGTATACTAATATTTATACAAAACAGTTTTAAATATCTAAAGCAAGAAATGTATTCGTCGTCGTATATGTCGTCAGACCCAAATTTTATAAATTTGGTTGTACATTCAAAAACAACGTGACTTAAAATTTTGTCCCAAAAAATGATTTTTATTAATTCAGAAATGTGTGACCTGAGAATTAAAATGCTCATACAAAGTTTTACTGTATTTGGATTTATCCTCGAAGAATAAAAAAGTGAAAAACTAGATTTTGACTGGACCTGTCCCAAGTTCATAATTGAAAATGTATTTCCTTCTTGGTTCTGTGCTCAAAAAAATTTTAGAATGTTTTATTTGTATTTGTTTTAAGCACTAGAATATTTATGCAAAGTTTTAATCTATTTGGAAAAACCCTCGAAGAAAAAAGTGACAAAATTGATTTTGACTAGGGTCGCCCCTAGTCCAAAATTGAAAATGTATTTCCTACTTGGTTCTGTGCTCAAAAAAATTTTAAAATGTTTTATTTGTATTTGTTTTAAGCACTAGAATATGTATGCAAAGTTTTAATCTATTTGGAAAAACCCTCGAAGAAAAAATTGACAAAATTAATTTTGACTTGGGTCGCCCCTAGTCCAAAATTGAAAATGTATTTCCTTCTTGGTTCTTTGCTCAAAAAAATTTTAAGATGTTTTATTTGTATTTGTTTTAAGCAGTAGAATATTTATGGGAAGTTTCAATCCATTTGTATAAACCCTCGAAGAAAAAAGTGACAAAATTGATTTTGACTAGGGTCGGCCCTAGTCCAAAATTGAAAATGTATTTCCTACTTGGTTCTGTGCTCAAAAAAATTTTAGGATGTTTTATTTGTTTTAAGCACCAGAATATTTATGCAAAGTTTTAATCCATTTGGAAAAACCCTCGAAGAAAAAAGTGACAAAATTGATTTTGACTAGGGTCGCCCCTAGTCCAAAATTGAAAATGTATTATCTTCTTGGTTCTTTGCTCAAAAAAATTTTAAGATGTTTTATTTGTATTTGTTTTAAGCACTAGAATATTTATGCAAAGTTTTAATCCATTTGGAAAAACCCTCGAAGAAAAAAGTGACAAAATTGATTTTGACTAGGGTCGCCCCTAGTCCAAAATTGAAAATGTATTTCCTTCTTGGTTCTTTGCTCAAAAAAATTTTAGAATGTTTTATTTGTATTTGTTTTAAGCACCAGAATATTTATGCAAAGTTTTAATCTATTTGGAAAAACCCTCAAAATTAAAAATGTATTTCCTACTTGGTTCTGTGCTCAAAAAAATTTTAGGATGTTTTATTTGTATTTGTTTTAAGCAGTAGAATATTTATGAAAAGTTTCAATCCATTTGAATAAACCTTCGAAAAAAAAAATGAAAAACTAGATTTTGACTAGACCTGTCCCAAGTTCATAATTGAAAATGTATTTCCTACTTGGTTCTTTGCTCAAAAAAATTTTAAGATGTTTTATTTGTATTTGTTTTAAGCACTAGAATATTTATGCAAAGTTTTAATCCATTTGGATAAACCTTCGAAAAAAAAAATGAAAAACTAGATTTTGACTAGACCTGTCCCAAGTTCATAATTGAAAATGTATTTCCTACTTGGTTCTTTGTTCAAAAAAATTTTAAGATGTTTTATTTGTATTTGTTTTAAGCACTAGAATATTTATGCAAAGTTTTAATCTATTTGGAAAAACCCTCGAAGAAAAAAGTGACAAAATTGATTTTGACTAGGGTCGCCCCTAGTCCAAAATTGAAAATGTATTTCCTACTTGGTTCTGTGCTCAAAAAAATTTTAAAATGTTTTATTTGTATTTGTTTTAAGCACTAGAATATTTATGCAAAGTTTTAATCTATTTGGAAAAACCCTGGAAGAAAAAATTGACAAAATTAATTTTGACTAGGGTCGCCCCTAGTCCAAAATTGAAAATGTATTTCCTTCTTGGTTCTTTGCTCAAAAAAATTTTAGGATGTTTTATTTGTATTTGTTTTAAGCACTAGAATATTTATGCAAAGTTTTAATCCATTTGGAAAAACCCTCGAAGAAAAAAGTGACAAAATTGATTTTGACTAGGGTCGCCCCTAGTCCAAAATTGAAAATGTATTTCCTACTTGGTTCTTTGCTCAAAAAAATTTTAGGATGTTTTATTTGTATTTGTTTTAAGCTCTAGAATATTTTTAAAAATTCAATTCAATCCATTTGGATAAACCTTCGAAAAAAAAAATGA